GTGATGGAAATGTTTTTTTAATAAAGATTAATTGAATTTTTAATGAGTTTTGGTTATTTGGGAGGGGGTGGACGGCTTTAATAAAAAATAGTATATTTTGTCATCAAGCCGAAAACTAGCTTTACGGACATTGTGAACAAATTAGTACGTTATGTTATGAGACGATAAAATATTATCTAACTCTGATTATAAAGTCATATTTGCTCGGATAATACTTTTATCGCCGTGTGACATACAGTATTTTATGTCACTGGGCCCGAAAAATGAAAAAAAATCTGAAACATTAAAAGATAATAGTGGAGTAACGAATCAAAACCATCTATTAAAATCCCACGTACATTCAACCCTCATAAAATCGTTCCCATCTCCCTCAAACGCTCCTCTCGTCGAAGCCTCCTCTCTCCCGCCGAAAAAATCAAAAAGGCGGTCTCATCCCCCCCCCCAATCAAAACTCCGAATTTCAAACAATGAAATCCCGCGTCCTCTCCCTCGCCGCGCCAAATTCTGCTTCGCCCTTCCGCCGCTGGCAGCGCTACGCCAGCAGCTGTGGTTGCGCCAATTTCGAAGGCGACAGAGGCCAAGAGTGACTCGGGCTATGGTTTTCGAAAATTTTTGACATTAAAATTCACCACCGTCAAATCACTTATAATGGCAGACAATCAGCAGAGTAGATTCGAGAAATCTCTGGGCTTGCTGACAACACGTTTCGTTAATTTATTGCAAAAGGCCAAGGACGGAGTATTGGACTTGAAAGTCGTGAGTATAAACCATCAACAAAGGGGACCCCAATTTTTTTAACATCCATAACAAGCGATGGATTTCTAGGTTAAGTCACGCCATTACGGCTTGTCCTTGCGGGAAGTTCAAAATAAATTGGTTTGAGATGGCAAAAGCCTCGGGATTTGCTTGTTCAAATGAAATTTTGCTTTTTTTTTGGGGCTCGGGGGATGGGGGCAGGGGGTGAGGCGGGCTGGGGGGCAAGCCTTTGAGGAATATTTTTACATAACCTAGAGGGATGCGCTGATTTTTGGGGTTCTTGGGGGGTTTTAAGGCTGCAGACATCCTGGAGGTACGACAGAAACGGCGGATTTATGACATTACGAATGTCCTTGAGGGAATTGGACTCATTGAGAAGAAGAGCAAGAACTCGATACAGTGGAAGTGAGTAGTGCGTCTTTATTTTGGGGGGAGGGGGTCCTAGCTCACCTTTTGATGAGCCAAACTTGTTTACTTTTGATTGATAATATTTATGGAGAATTTTGGTTTGTAAATAAATTATGGGAATTGGTTAAATTTTGGAAAATCTTGGTTTTTTAGTTTTGAATGAGTTTCTTTATGATTTTAAGAGGAGGATTTTTGGAGTGAAAAATTTTAATCATCAAATATATATTTTTTAATTTAAAATCGTTGAATTTATCAATTAAACTGCAAGTGGAAATTGTTTAAACTGTGAGCGAGTTTCTGTTACAATTTTCAGAAAATTATTTTAGGGTGGAAAATTTATTGCTTATGAATTAATAAATAATAAATATCTACAAAAAACGTTTCAGACAATTTTCCCCTAAAACCACTCTCAATAAAAATAAATCAACATTTATCAAGGTATAAAAATAATTTTTTCGTCAACTTAAAAAACTCTTCCTTAATTATCTCGATAATAAGTGGATTTACGGGAAAAAGTCATGAAATTTTTTTTATAGAAAATTCCATTTTCTAAAAAAAATGTCAAGAGCCATTTTACCCTAGAACCAACCATTATCGAGATAAATCACTTTTTGTCAAGAGATAAAAATCATTCTATCCCTAATTCAACATAAAAAAATTCTTCAGAGGTGCTGGACCAGGCTGCAACTCCGACGAAACTGGCGAGAAACTCGGAGACCTCAAGGACGAGCTTCGGGAGCTTGAGGAGCACGAGGCAACCCTGGACCTCCACCTGCAGTGGATCCAGCAGAGTATAAAGAACATCGAGAACGACTTCAAGAACAGAAAATTCGCCTACATCACGTACGAGGACGTCAAGGAGCAGTTCCCCGAGGACTTCGTTCTGGCGATCCAGGCCCCCCCAGACACCATCCTCAAGGTTCCCAACCTCCCCAAGTGCATCCAGAGTGATAAACAGAACTTCGAGATGTTCCTCAAGAGCACAGGGGGCGAGATCAAGGTCTACATGGTGCAGCCCAGTCTTGCTGAGACTTATGACAACAAAATGCTGGAAGCCATGCTCGAGAAGGACCCCCAGGAGATCAAGAGGGAGAAAATCGAGGGGGAGAAGGAGGAGAGCAAGCCAAAGAGGAGAGTCTCCAAGTAATTATAGATATTTACAGAAATAAAAACAATTCGGTAGCGAAATGGTAAAACGGTTTAAGTCGACTTATCTCTTAGTTGAGTTTTTGAAGAATATCTCCGAATCTAAAGGAGATAATGAAATTTAGGAAATAACCTTTTTTCTAGAGCAAATTGAGCGCTACAAGAAAGGTCGAGACAAACATTTAGCTATCTCCCTTAGATTCCGAGATATTCACAAAAAACTGGCCAATTATCAAAATCAACTTAAACCGCTGTATTACTTCGCTACTGAATTAGAAGAAGAATTTGAAGAAAATTATTCTTCAAGAGGATTTTCTTTTTTAATTTCGTTCTGAATAAAATTAAATTAATTTTCGAAAGGAGTTTTTTTAAAGAATTTGAAGATTTGCGTTTTTCAGAAATTAATTTTTAAAAGAAGTTTTTTTTGTCGAGAATTTAGGAAGAAGAAAACGCGTTTTATTTTTTTTTCAAACAAGTTTTTCACTGTTAATTTTTTTCTCGTTTTGGGGTGATTTATTTAGATTTTTTATGGGACTGCTGGGGTTTTAGAGCTCTATTTCGCCTCGTGAGTGTGAAGAATATGTTCACGATCTGCAATGAGCTGATATTAGTGGGGCGATTGATCCGGGGATGGACAGTTGGAAGAATAAACTAGTTCATTTGGATATTGATCGTACAAATTTTTGTTTTTTCATTTTAGCTTTGGATAGAATGTCATCAGACATTTTTTATCCCCCAAAATTCTCTGCAAAAAAGGTTTCTTGACTACTTCAGCTAGAATCGCTCGTTATCATGCGAATTTGCCATTTAACAAACGCTAAATTAAATTTAAAAAAAACAAACACTAATTTCATGAGAAATGTGATTTTAAATCGTTTCATTCTATAATTTTCTTGATTATCTCGACGATGAGTCAATTTAAGAGAAAATGTGATGAAACATTTTTTGTGGGGAATTTACTGTTTTTCTACTATTCGACAACAAAATTTTACGAGTGATGGATTTTATTCGTTGTTTTTTTCATGTCCCTAGATCGTCCAGAAGTAGTGCAAAGACGGAGATGTCTGATGACGAGGATCACGAGGACGCGGATTTGTTAGAAGCCAAAATAATCCTCAGTGATGTCAGCACTTCCAGTGAGTCAATAAGCCAGAAATCCTTGATTGAAAATATTTACTTCAGATATTATTCATTTGTTCTCATTCTTCCAGATCTCATCAGACCAGATGGACACCTGCTGGAGGATTTTTACGCCGACTGTGAGTATCTTTGATGAATTGATATGCCAATTGTTGAAGTTTTTTATAATGATATTATTTTCCCATAAAATTTAAAAATTGATCATTATTTTTTCTTTTCCTTAAATCAAGAAGTACCAATTTTTGAAAAATGTCGACGGATATGAAAATTTTTCATCTGTTTAATCTCATTTCAATGGAACGGAATAAGAGAAATGCAAAGAAAGATGATCAGCAAGAAAATAAAAATTTCGATTTTTCAATGTCTCCGGAAAGTTTTAAAATTGATATATTTTTTTAAATAATGAAAGAATACCGATCAATTCAATTTCTATCCTTACATTTTGATAGAATACACAAAAAAATAGCAAAGAATAAAAATCGAAGATGAGAAATTTTATCAGATCAATATAATGTAATTATAATTATGTTTCGATGTTCCAAATAGTTGATATTCTTCTTCTCATTGCAGTCTGCGGCCCATTAGTGAGTCTCAGTCCTCCACCAACCGACAAGGACTACCACTTCAACCTCTCCGAGAACGAGGGAATCTTGGATCTCTTCGATATCGCGGCATAGTAATCAACCCTGACCCGTTAATTAAGAAAATCCTATTGAATTTGTGAGCAATTCGAGGTGTAAACTGCGTCCGGATGTGTATTTTTTTTTTTCGAAGAATGAATTTCCGATTTTTTTCACTTGATATTTTTTAAACTCGATAATGATGTCAACCGAATTCCTCCAGTTGTTGTCTCTTCAACAAACGAATTACGCTTGTTGACAATTTTTTTATCATTTACCCAATGATCTTGTGGAAGTTGAAGGACAATTAATATTTTCTGTTTGTTTTGTGAGGGGAGGAACAATCAACAACAATTGTAAGGATCAATCTTATGTGCGGCTGAGAGTCATTGTACCTATATTGTATTTTATCTGTTATTCAATATAAGAACTAAACAATTGACTATTTTTCAGAGTTTCATTTCATGTAGAACAGAAATTTCATTGGAGAATTCAGAAAAATAGTGAATTTTGCGGAAAATTCATTTGCAATGGTTTTTTATTCTCAATATCTCAGGAACGGCTGAGTGAAATTGAAGACATCAAATTTCGTATTAAATCGCGTTTATCACTCTTTAAAATAAGTGCCGATCCATCCCAATCACATCATTGGATCCAGGGAAATCTCCAATCAAAACATCTCACCCCAAATCCGAAAACTTGAGAACAACTATCTTTTTTTGAATTAAAAAAATCTAAAAAACGGCTGAGTGAAATTGAGAAAATCAACGCTCATTTCACACCTATCTAAAAATTCTTTAAAATGAGCCCTGACTCATCCCAGTCGAATCACTCCTTCCCGAGAATTTCCCAATCGAAAAATTCTACCCCTCAAATCCGAAAAATCAACAATTTCAACATCGAGCCCGCTAGCCCCGCGCATGCACCCAATGCCCGCGCGAATTCAAGGCCGCGATAAGAATGGCTCATAATGACGAAAAAATTTCATCACCGCGAGGTACCGAGACAGTCACCAGTGCGCGTGTGTGCCCCGCAGTCCGAGGAGCAAAAAGCGCTCTCCCAAAAATCTCAAGACCCCGTGGAAAATGCCAGTGATTCATTAATTTGCGCTCATGTATTCGCCCGAAAAAATTCACCCGATCGATTTTTATGCCCCCCTGACAACTCCACGGGTGTGTCAACACTCGAAAAATCTCCGAACTCGCACTGGCACCTGCACTTTGAATCAGCTGACTGATCGAATTAAGGTAAATTCATTGTTGCGAGGAAACGTCATGCGTTCAAAGACATTTGATTACGTCATGACAGGGTTAAAATGTCAGGGGCTGTCATGTTTGGTTCAGTCGAGTGACAACCGGTTGTAGACGCAGGACTTCGGATTTTTTCGTTTGTGAGGTAGTGAGTTTTTTTACAATTTTTGGGTTTGCATTGGGGGATTCCCCGATTTTTTTGGGAACTTGAGTGATTTTTTTTGGAATTGTGGATCGAGCGGGGGTTTCGACCCTAGACGCAATAATCGACCCAAGAATGTTGGATATTGTGAAGATCAAGTGAAGATCAGTTTCGAGCAAAAAAGGTAAATAATGACATTCATCTGGAATTCATATAGAATGTTGATAATCACAATTGAATTATCTACGAATTTTTCTAGAATTTTTTCAGACCTCCTTTTCAAGTTATTAACGATTGAAGTCGCTTCTTATACACAAGCTCTTATAGAGATTTTTCCGTTTAGCGCGGAACTGTGTTACCATCTGAACCGATAATATAGTTTTATGCTCAGCAGAAAAATCTCCATAAGAGCCCATACATAAGAAACCAGAGAAGAAACAACTTGAATCGTTAATAACTTGAAAAGGAAATCTGAAAAAATTCTCGGAAAATTTATGGATAATTCAATTGTGATTGTAAACATTCTGCATGAATTCCAGATGAATCTCATTATTTACCTTTTTCGCAAGAAACACCTCAATGAGATGACATAAGCAAACGGTCGATTTATTCATAATCGACTCAGAGTCAAAAGAAACCGCACCATCACAACAACCCTTAGCAACCCTACGATCTTCATGACTCTTATCTTCATACCAAGGGAAGGCAAGTGCATCATTCCCTTTAATATTTCTCACCATTATTTGGTATAGGGTTGAGGTCTCGGGAGTAAATAAATAGTCAAAACTACAAGGTGGTTGCCACGTGTGGGCGCGGCCATCTTGTTTGGATACCCCTACCTCTGCCGCAAGGGACTTCAAGATGGCGGCGCCTCCACCTCGTATTTTCAAACATCTCTTAAAATGACTTATCATCTTCAGATCACCCTCAACTCGCTTCAGGCGGTTTCTAAAAAATGAGCAAAGTATTTAAGCCATCACCCAGATTTTTCCATGGCTTCTTGCCTGAGAATTCACGGCGCAACGTGTTCCCCCCATTTCAGTGGTTTTCTTCCCTCCCAAGACATTGAGAAATTGTCAAATAAAAAATATGTCCCCAGAATTTTCTCTCAACACACTGGAGATGGGAATACGCGTGATATTCAACAAATTCCGGGAGGTATCCCACAAGTACCCAGTGGTCAGGGGCATGGCGGCGTACTCGGTGATCTGGCCAGCGGGTTGCCTGATCCAGCAAAAGTTCGTCTCCAAGGAGGAACTCAATTATCTCCAAGCTTTGAGGTTCAGTCTCTATGGGGGACTATTCGTCGCACCGACTCTCTACGGCTGGCTGACGATAGCCTCCCGTGTGTGGCCGAAGACCACGTTGAAGTCCGCAATTACCAAAGTACCCATCATAAATTACCTCTGTAGAGTGGATTTCCAATGATCAATCGATTGATCGAAGAATTTTGCCATGATTTTCAGGCTCTTGTGGAACAAGTCACCTATGGGCCGGCGGCCATGTGCTGCTTCTTCTTCGGAATGAATTTTTTAGAGCTCAAACCAGTCTCTGAGTGTGTGGAGGAAGTCAAAAGAAAATTTCTTCCCACGTGGAGGGTAAATATTACAAAATTGAGAATTAAAATAGAGACGATTCTCTGCATAAGATACCCATGGTATTTTTGCTCAGTTGTTTTTTGACGAAAAAAGAGAGATCATGAGGGTCAACCAAGCGATCAGAAGGGTCAAGCTGAGAGACGAGCGGACTGATCACAGGGGTCTAACGATTTGACCCTTATAATCACTCCACTCGTCCCTCCCATTTGACCCTTAAGACCCTCCGATTACAGTGTTTCTATCACGTGGGGTTGTGCGCACGAAAAAATGGTCACCCCTCATAACGACCTCCTGTTACAGATGGGCATCTGCGTATGGCCAGTCCTCCAAACCATAAACTTCGTCCTCATCCCCGAGAGAAATCGCGTCGTCTACGTCAGCATCTGCAGTCTCGTCTGGACATCCTTCCTCGCCTACATGAAGTCCCTCGATGTCAAAAGATTACAAGCCGAAGCACTCCACGAGTACAAACCTGATTTGCCAACAGCCCCACCACCGGTAAAAACCGAAACTACGAATGTACAAACACCCACAAGTACCTCGAAAACGAAAGTACCCAGCGCATCACCTTAATCCCTAGGAAGAATCGAATTAGAAGAAATTGCCTGTTTTACTTATGCTCGTTATCTAGTTAATTGAAATTGTACATATTTCTATTTTATTATTTATTGACAAAAATATGTGAAGATATTTATATTGATGATTGGTAGATGTATACATTATTGAAAGTATTCAGAGTCTTTAGAATATTGTTACGAAATGATGAGTCATATGTTCCCGCGATCTCCTATATTTGACAATAAATTGGGTATATATAAAGATACAAATTTTTTTTTGCTAATCAAGACTAAAATCCCTTTGAGAGGATGGATTTGTACGAAAACTTATGCAGTAGCACAGAAAATGCTTGACATGCTTGATGATGTTTGAATTTGACAGACCTTTTGTAGTTTGCGTATAAGGTATCTATTGTCAAACTTCAAAATGTTTATCTGTCAATAGTATGAGCAATAGTTATTCTGGTAATTTTGTTTTATAGTTTACAATAAATGCACCTGAGGAGGAATGCCCAGAGCATTCGAAACGTCGTGCAATTTTGGATAGAATGCCTTGGAGTTTTTTCATTCTGTTTTGATTAATTTGAAGCAACTGACTGGAAATAATGGCCGGAACTTATCATTATTATGGAAGAAACTACAGTCGGAACGTTAATATGTTGAGACATCTTTAGAGACATTTGCACGCCATTTCGAGACTCGCTCTTTCATTTGGGTCCAAAAAAACATTCACATCTTGTCTGACACTCTGCTATGGGGTGCAAATGTCTCTAAAGATGATTTTTTAACCAGGGGTGACGCCTAGAGCCGATTGGACAATGTTGTGCCAACTCTGGTAGGAGTCTCCCCGGATTGGGAGATCACCCCTAAAATCATTTGCACTATATTTCGGCACCCACTTCTGCCCTCGGACCCCATTAGACAAATATGAATATCGTTAAGAAAACGTTCACATAAAATGTAAAAAAATATTCATTTCATCTTTTATTTGGGTTTAGTCAATTATTTATTTCATTATTTATTTGCGTTAATCTATGCTGAAATTCGTATTCGAGGAAATTGTTCACTAGTCTACTATCTCCATATCACTTATCAATTGATTCGATGTGTCTAGTTTATTGTCTAGATTTAATTTGAGAAGTAAAAATTGAGGGTCCACGATCTCCCACATATCCACGGTAGAAATTACCTTGATCTACGGGAAAACGTCCCGTATATCCACGGTCAAAGTTACCGTGGAGCGTGTGAATAGATACTGCCTTTATTATTTCCCTGAGATGCAAAAGATCCCCTAAGGGAAAACCAAAATATAACATAATTATTACAAATGAATTTCATGAATTATTTACATTATTATAACTTTGTTTTCGTATAATTTTTCCGTCATAGATCAGTTACAGGGTACAGACATGTAAATTTTTGGTCTAGGCATAATTTTGGTGGACAATCCCTGAATTTTGACTAAATTTAAAAGTCTTTTAAATTCAAAGGGCAATTGACTAAAAATTATTTGATAGGATAATATATCGGCCGATAAAAAGAAATGACTAAAAGTAAATCATGGCTAATCTTCCACTCTCTACAAATATCACGATTACAATCATTCAGGTATTCTCAGATTATGTATCTTATCATTATTTCTCCCGTGGATAATGATTTCTCTCAAAATCGTAGCTCCCGACCTAAATCATTCATCGATTTTTCTCCAAAATTCCGTAGCACGAATAACATCAGTATGAAGTTACAAATTTGTTTCGGACTTTTTCTGGGGCTAGGAATTGCCGCGTGTGTTCTTGCGCTAATATCAAAATATATCGTGTTACCCAAGACTGTTAATGATGAAATAGGCGAGGTGAGTAATTTTTTTTTAATGCAGACATTTATGTAGAAAAAATATTATATCGGTGGCCTAATTAATCCGCAGGCTGTTGCGCTGGTGAATGGCACAGGTGCGTACGATAGGTGGAAAACAATACCACTACCAATTATTTATAAGGCATATTTTTTCAATGTCACAAATCCTGATGATGTCATGCAGGGGGAAAAACCTATTCTGCAAGAGGTTGGACCTTACGTCTATAAGTAAGTGTACAGCAAAATTATAGCTTAAAATAGTATATTTCATCACTTGTGAGTAAAGTGAAATTTTACGCACGCTCCGCGAACAATATTACAATATTAAACAACAATATTTAATATTAATATTATTACTATAATACTAATATATCCTATTATTATATTATAATTAGTATTATTATTATATTGTAAAGATCAACTCAATTGATTAGATTTCAAGGAAAAAGGGGCGACTTGTTATTTCAATTCTATCATCAAAACAGAGACAGAAGAACAAATCTCTCTCACACCCAGAACAACAACCCTTGGTAACCATTCGAACTTCATCCTTCTCATTCTCATTTAAAGGGCGAGGAAGTGGATAATTCAATTAACTCTATCACAACAATATTAATATTTAATATTTGTCGAAGAATATTTTTTGGCGGTGATTTCGATCACTTTTTGTTTAGCAGGAAACGAAAAGGCACTTTTCCCACGGGTGTCGAACCCTATCTTTCATCGCGATGTGTGGAAAGTGGAATTTTGCGCAAATTTCACTGTATGCACAAGTCATAAAATAGTAGAATAAGTACGCCGTGTGGAAAACAACCGTTTTACACCCACTAAACTGTTTCGAAAAGTGCGCTTCTCAGGCAGGTATCACGAAACTATTGATCAATTATTGAATACATTCTGCAGACAATACAGATCTAAATTCAACATAACGGAGGATGGAGACACGCTATCGTACAATGAGCACCAACTTTTTGAATTCGATGAGAATTCTTCGTATCCCCTCACCGATTCGGATGCAATTCGTATCGTCAACCTGCCTCTGATGGTAATTCCGTTAAAAATAGTATATTTCGTTACGAGTGCGGAAAAGTGTTGTTTGGCTCGTGGGAGGTTTATAGCACGAGCCGAAGGCGAGTGATATAATCCCACGAGCTAAAAACACTTTTCCCACGAGTATCGAAGAATATTTTTCATCACAATGTGTGGAAAAGGGACGTTTTAGGCACGCTTCGCGTGTAAAGTTACTTTTTCGCACAGCGTGATGAAAAAATATTTTCCTTGTATTCTGATGGTAAATTCCTCGTATTGTAGGCGATGATTGCCACAACGGAACGGGAAGTCCCACCCCTCCTTCAAGTTCTCGATCGAATGATCCCGAAAATTTTTAACAACCCGAAGGATTTGTTTCTCACAACGACACCCAGGAATTTTCTATTCGACGGAGTCATTTTGACCTGTGATACCAATGATATTGCTCTTAGAATAGTGTGTGGGGTGATCGAAAAGCTTGCGCCGCGGACGATTGTCAGACGTGATAAAGGGAACTTCAAATTTTCGCTTTTGAGTTATGTAAGTCTTATTTATTTATTTATTTATTTGTTTACTCATCTAAAATTTATCAATTGATCAGGGAACGGTAGTGAATTTCGTTCTTAAGAGTCAAATGGGAGAGACAGGCGGATGGGTCAAGTGGGTCAAACGGGAGAGACGAGCGAAATGATTACTCCACTCATCTCTCCCATTAGACCCTTCTGATTACTCTATTCGTCTCTCCCGTTTAGCACTTACGAAAATTGGTCGACACCTGTCTCTCCCATTTGACCCTCCAGTCTGTTTGATCCTAAACAACATTTGACCCTTCATCATGTCTTTACGGAATTACAGTATTGAGGGTCAAGCGGGAGAGACGAATGATGAGATCGGAAGAATCAACCTTTTTTAAGGGTTCAATGGGAGAGACAAACGGATGGGTCAAGTGGGTCAAACGTGATGGACTATCGAATTGATCACTCCACATGTCTCTCCCATTAGATCTTTAAGAAAGTTTAATCCTTCTGATTACTTTGCTCATCTCTCCCATTTGACCCTTAAGAAAAATTGACCCTCTACCTGTCCTCCTGCTGCTGTTCCATTTTGCCCCACGCTCCTCTGTTTAATTATGACATGATGATAAGGGCTGATTGTCCCCCCTAGAAAAATGATACGGATGAAGGGACATTCGTCGTGAACAGTGGAAAAACCGACCCCAAAATGGTGGGTCAATTATCCTCATGGAATGGCTACAGCATGACGAATGTGTGGCTGGCTAACAGTTCCTGTAACGCAATATATGGATCGGACGCTACTATTTACGCTCCATTCCAAACTACTGAGTCTATCGTAAACACATTCTCGGTCGATTTATGCCGGTAATACATGACCATTCTGTTGTCATGTTCAAAGTTCAGAAAATATTAAATTTTCTTATCTAGTTGGCCATCTTCCTTCATTCATTGTTAAACTCCAAATGACTCATAATACATTGTAAAGTGCAGAAATATCTTATCTTATCACTCACAGGCCAGTATCCTTGGAGTATTTAGAAGCCATTGAATACTCCGGAATCGATGGATTGCGATTTATAGCGAGGAAATCGACTTTTTCGTCGCCGCAGAAGGAGCCTCTGAATGAGTGCTACTGCCTAAACAAGACTAGTGGAATATTGGGGAATGATAAGTGCCTGCTGGACGGGGCTTTAGAGCTCTTAACATGCCACGGTAACTCCTACGAATATACATTAATAATAAAAAAATTAACATTTTGACGTGGATACGTTTATGGTTTCTTTTTGGGGGTCATTCGGTAAAAAATGCTTATGCAGCCGCGCCATCTATCGGCGATGCTGACTGTCGATCAGTCGGTAAGATACCGACAGGTTGTTAGTCATATAAATTTCCAGTGCAGAAATGTCTAGATTCGAAATTCCCAATAAGAGGCGGATCGGCGCGCTCCGCCGTCAGTCGTAAATTGGCAATCGAAGAGTTAACATCGTATAAAGTAAAGAGTGTAAATATCTGGTGCAGTGGTAAGGTCAATCTAGATTTTGATGTAGACACGTCTATGGTTTCAATATGGGGGGTCATTTGGGAAACGGTCCTTATGTGCAGCGCCATCTATCGCAAGTCTAGAAAATTCTAGACATTTCGGGGTAATTCGAGAAGTTTCTGGAAATTTCGAAAAAATTCAAGGAGTTTCTAGAAAATTCGAGGGAATGCAAGGAGTTTTCAGGAAATTCGAGAAAGAAGGATCGAAGATACAGCCGCCTGCAATTTTTTTGTTCTCCAGGAGCGCCCATTGTCTTCACCCATCCCCATTTCTACTTGACCCACGAGGTATATCAGAGAGGTGTTCAGGGGCTCAACCCCATTCCTTCGAAGCATCAAAATTACATTGACTTACAGCCCGTAAGTTCTTGGGAGATGCATTTACCCAGTTGATGCCATCAATTTAATTGGTTAATTGTTTTACTTCAATTTTCATAGAATACCGGAGCTCCTTTGAGAGGAAGTAAACGCGGCCAATTCAATATCTTCTTGCGTCAAGTTGACAAGGTGTCCCTGACTTCGGGTCTGAATACAACTCTCATGCCCATTCTATGGTTCGATGAGGCAAGTTGACGTTTAATAATCACACTGGTGAATATTTCTAATGATTTTTTTACAGGGAGTGGAACTCAGTGATGAATTTGTTGATCAATTAAAAACCCAGTTGTTGGATAATCTGCGGTTGCTTGATATAGTCAGCTGGGCAGTTTTCGCCTTCGGTGGCGCCATCTGCATTGTTAGTCTCATCGCGTTGTTTTGTTGTTGGGGAGCGAAGAAGAAGTAGATAGCGAGATTCGTCGATATTTTTTCACTTTTAAATAATTGAATAGACCAGCCGTGCCATGTGACGATATATTCCACGAGAAAATAATATTAGAGGATTATGTTGGATTATTTATATCAATCGGTGCTGCTCGTCCAGTGATTAATACTGAATATAATGTTTTTTGTATATATTGACGTTGAATTAATAAAAAATACTCTGTCACAACTATTTGTCATGACTTTTGTACAGAATAAATGGATTCCCTGACGAAGAGAATGAAAATGATTCTGTTCACGTATTTTGCTGCTCATGATGTTTTTATTCTCATCAATTACAATTTTCCAAGATTACCTGACGCCCCTAATCCACTTAGTAGATCTCAAATACACTTCAATCCTCATAAAAAAAGGAAATCAACTCCTGGAATAAATTATCACATTCACTCTACAAATTCCCCCCTTGCACTCCATTATTTTAGATTCTGTCCCCTCTAATTTATCCACTGACTACAGAAAAATTTGTGCGATTGATATGGAAAGTTGTTGAATATATTACAGACTCGGGTTAATAGTGAGTCGTCATCAAAAATAGAGCATGCAGTTCCAGAAGATTGACAGTCACAAATACAAGAAGAGTCGAGTTATCCTTTGATTAAATTTTCATTACATTTTGATCGTGTTAGTTTATATATTCAGTAAATCGATTGATCCAAGGGCTTTTGATATGTTTCGTCGGTGATTCAGCTTGATGTTGGCTCAGTGGCTAAACGTATTCTCGCTGTCTCGCGGGATCTGTTGTGAACCTCGGCGGTTCGGAATGTTATCCCGAATATGTCCTCGTGGTATCTGTTTTGATCCTGAAGAGAAGAAAATCAAATTTCGTTGACCCATTGTTACGTCTAAGAAAATGGGTCAAAAAACCCTTAAAAATGTGTGGGGTTATGGGTCAAATAGTTCTGAGGGTCAAACGATTCTTAAAACTGGTCAGAGTTGACGTTCCAATAGTTTCGAGGGTCAAACAAGCTTTAAGAGCTTTCGGAGTTGAGGGTCAAACGACCCTTAATAACCTTGGGAGTTGAGGGCTCAATTAGTTTTGAGGGCCAAACGGCCCTTAAAAATTTAGAATTGACATTCGGATAGTTTTGAAGGTCAAAAGACCCTTAAAACCGATCATAGTTGACACTCCAATAGTTTTGTGGGTCAAACAAGCTGTAAGGGCTTTTAGAATTGGGGGTCAAATGGTCTTGCGGGTCAATAAACTCTCAAGAATATTTAGAATTGAGGATTAAATAGTTTAGAGGCCCAAACAACCCTTCAAAACGTTTGAAGTTGGGCGTCAAATGGTCATGAGGGTCAAATATCCTTCAGAAACAATTGGAGTTGAGGGCCAAACAACCGTTAAGAACGATTTTAAATTGTCTTCAGGGTCGAACGGATTACAGTAGAATGATCATAACGCCCCAAGAAGCATCTTATCCAAAACATCTGCAGAGATCATGATTATGAATATTAATAGTTACCCTTAGAGACAGCATGTAAGCCTCAACTTCTTTATCACTCATTTGTCCATGCGTTTGGATAATCAGTTTCAAGGTTTGATACACATCTTCGGCCATCGTGCAATCACCGCATACGTAGAAGTGTCCTTGTTCATACACAAGCATATTGAAGATTTGCGAGGCCTCCGCTTGTATAATGTCTTGCACGTAAGTCTGAAAATGAAAGAGAGGATGAACAAACCGTGATTTTCATCCTCCAAAAATCATCCTTTGGCATTTGTTCTGTACCTTCTTAACTCCAGCCTCACGAGACAATGCCAAAAATACTCTATCCAAGACTCCGGTCTCCATCATCTCTCTCTTCTCCTGCCGGTAGAGATCGAGAGTTCGCTGACGGCAACCGAAGAACAGCCAGATCTTCCCGAATTCTTGACCTAAAATTTCAATTTAATTCTTTGTGGTGATGCGGACAAATGATTTCCCGATGATAACCGAGATAATTACGTTTGTTTAGTAACTTCTGAGCATTCCGGTGGTGCCAGAATCCCCGGAAGGGCGCGATTCCTGTACCAGGACCCACGAGGATCATCGGGGGCTCGGGGTTCGGTGGCATGTAGAAATTGGGAGCACTGGAATCAACAATCATCAGTGAATTATGGAATCGTTCAGCTATTCATTCGATCAATTCAATCAACTGTGAATTCTATGGCAGCTCCGCTTGTTCGATTACAAATTTAGACACCGGTGGCTATGGCCGCATCATAGCGAGTGGAGTACGGGATGATGGAGCCGTTGAAGTTTTCCTTCAATTAAACTAATCAACTGTGAATTTTGGGGCAATTCTATTGATCATTCATTTACGCATTTAGGAATTAGTCAGTCGAAGCTCATTTACATAATGACGTACGAATATCGTATATAAATGAGAAAAATGATGCGAAATATTACAGTCCTTCTTCTTCGATTACAAATTTTCAATTCAAGATGTCAAAGTTTATTTTCATGTTGTGTGCAGTCTTTTCGGTGCTCTTGGTTGTTGTGAACGTCGATGGAGGGATAGCTCCCGACAGTAAGTGCATCTATTGCCTCTTTCGAAACAATAATAGGGACGCATTGTATTCGGCAAAACCGAAATTTATTATTTTTTGTGTCAGAAAAATGTTAACATTGGGCCAATGTTGGCTGCCAACGTCGGGGCAATACTGAATTACAATGAATCACTGAATTCAATTAAAAATACACCGTCGTCGAAACTTCATTCGAAAGCAAATTGCAAATTTACTAGCAAAAATATGTTGGCTATGTTGTGACAAAAGTAATTTCCCACTTGTTTTATTCATTTTCAGAATCTTTCTCAGATTATTTTAATATCGACCCAATGGCCTGTCCGCGAACAGCAAAGATTCTGTGTTCCGCCCATAATTATCCCCCGTTCAATGGAGTAAGTCACGCAGAATAACTATTCTTCTAAGGTATATATCTCACAAAATAATTTTAATTCCATTGGAATTGTTTAGGCGCTCATAGAGTGCAGTAAACCAATTTTATGTGGCGACCAAAAATTATTTGGAATGGAAATGGCTCCCATTGGAATCGAATGTGAATGGAGCCCAGAGAACCCAAAAATTCCCACGAAGGTAATCTTGTTTACTTCAGTTTCATTCATAAAGCCTGACAACAAACTTGATTACATTTATCTCGCCAACAGGTGTGCAGCGGTGACGGCAAGTGTACAAAATTTTATTGGGATCAAGGTGACTGTTGAAGGACATTTAACAATGCCTACAATATTATTTAAATTAATAAGTTAGATCTGTTATAGAAAAATTTTAAACAATTTTTTTTCATGTATTTGGATGAGTGAATGTGAATAAAAAAATTACATGCAATAAAAACTCCTCACAAATTCTCCTCCCCCTCAAAACACTCCGACAAAATTTCAATTATAATTAAAAATGTTTCTACCTGCGCACGAATACGTAGAGTGGCTCTCCGTCCGTTATCTCGTTCAAGTAATTGGAGCAGACACCGTAATGCACGGGTCCACTTCCCCCTTAATTAAAAATTTCGTTCACATGAATGACAATTGCTACTATCGGTTAAACTTCCGAGTGGAAATTTAAAAAAAATGGGAGTTTGTGAGAAACTTGGGATTATGTTGAATGTTGGTGGCACTTACCCTGTGATTTGTACTGGACGATAGCAACAGTCAGATGAATCTGTCCCTGATGCACCAGCGGAGATGAGGAAATACTGTAGAATCGGGGCTGAAGAGGCGTCAAGTGGAGGACGAATAGTGGAGCATAGGGTTTCACTGACGGAAATTCCACGAGTACCTCCAATAAATTAGGGTATTTCCAGTGCTTCCAGTCTTCATAGGCCGCTGAGTCCTACGAAAAATTCCAAGTCAATGGAAATCTCCATAAACTCTTCATATTTCCACAAGATGCGATTGCAATTGCAGAATATATCCTGCAAACCAAATTTTTCCACTCACAGTTGCAAGAAGATTCAACTGCGCCTTCTCCTTCTGATTAGTAGCTATCGACGAGAAGTATCTCAGTAAATTCGGCGTTGGGGGTGTCGTGATGTCCAGGAAGCGAGTAAGCAACATTCTGAGTGAATTCGGAGAGAATCTCTCGTGTGGAACCCATGTCTTGATGATTCCGTTCGGGGTGTGGGACTGCTTCTGGGTTTGAAGCTCCATCGGAGTGTCGAAGTCCATGGTGGCCTCGATACGCGCGAGAATGCCCTCGACCAGTTCAGTTTTGTTACAAGCGAAGACGCCTAGGTGATCACCAGGTTTGTACGGAATTTCCATGCTGGCGAGGTCGTCGAGCTCGAGGAGAAGAGTCGTTCCCCTTCAAAGGCAGACGACAACTAGTCATTTTTTCACTCCCTTTCCCGTATAACTTATTAGGCTTTTTATGGTGCCATCCCACCCCCCACCCCTTTACGACTGTACGAGCCGATTTTCCCCTCAACCCCATCGGCTCCACAAAAAAAGTTATAACAAAAATTTTGCTATCTCACTTGGATTTCGAGATATTGATTGAAAACTGGTCAATAGTCAAAATTGACGTATCTCCTTTTACTCCTTGGCTACTGAATTAATCTCAGAGAGAATAACAATGGGAGAGAGAGCCCGCAAACCCGGGGATCTCCTTACTACGTGACCAGTATCCGAGATTCGAATGCCATTTCGTATAACTTATGACAGGTTCGGCTGTACTGAGGCCGACTCAGAGGGTTAAAGATTCCCCAAAATTTACATGTCAAGCTCATCATCACACACCTCTACATTAAAATCTCTACTCTAATTTAAATAGAAGACAGTTATCACTTATCTTGAATTGTCATTCTTAAATTTTCATTATCATCTGAAGACTTACCCAACTATCCCCCCACTCAGATCAGTCTTCCTCAGCATATTGCAGGTCGTGACATTCCGATTATGGCATTTGCTAAGAGCTACAATAACAAATTGCCAAAACATGACGATTTTTCAATCAATTCAACAACAAAATGTCTTCTTGCGGAAAATAAAAAGCTTACATTTGGCAATCGGTTGAGGATCGGCATCAACGAACCTCACAGTGGACCGCGAAAGCGCTTCGGACCCGAGCGACAGCGCCACCTCGAGAAGCGTCTCATCATCATCGAGGCAGAAGGTCTCGCACGCAACGGCAAAAGTATCGGCCGCCCATTTTCTGAAGGCTTGCTCTTGTCCGCACATTTCATCCCCCTGGGACAATTTCAGCAGGCGTTCGCCCCCGAGCTCACCCAGGAGATTGTCCACATAACGGCCGAAGGCGCAGAAGTTGGGATAGGCCGAGGAGCCGAGAGCAAAGACAGCGAATCTGACATTGCTCAACGGCCCGAATGTGTCTTCGTTCTGAGATTCTGTTGTCGAACCTCGGAGTGAATCTAATCTGTCCAATTTTTTCACACTTCCGACTTCAGTTTGACTGTTTGCTTTGATAAATGATTTTGACGTGGCCAGACTAGAGAAAAAAAATAGACGAGTGCAATTTTTTTTCAGTAATTTCAACTTTTCAACATTTCAGGGAATTTTTCATCAATTGTCTACCTGATTTTAGCTTCACTATTGATATAAGTCTCATTCATCTTCATGGCATAGAGATTCTGAGCGAAGGCCTCGCCATTTTCCGGCGGATCGCCATTACCAAACGTCGAAGTAATGACGAGCAAGAGTGCCTCGTGCTCGATATTACTGATGTCATACTCCGCCATGCTGAGAACTTGAGAATGAAAGGCATGACCAAGAAGTTCCCCAAGTTTCTCGGCATACATCTGGGAGGTGCCTGTCTCAGTCGCAAACAAAACGGTCGCCTTTATGCGACGAGATAGCGCACGGCCAAACAATTTCGATGTGAATTTCACAGCACTAGAAGGAAAATGAAAACTTTTACTTCAAGGACTTGTTCGGAGGGAACTTTTCTCCAATTAAATTATGAGCGGAGAGTTTTCCGTTGAAGGAGTGTCCTAATGAGTTTTCCGTCGATTCCATGATATGACAAATTCTGAGAAATATTTTTGTGATAAAAAAATAATTTCAGCTGACGCAAAATTTTTTTAGGGGTCAGGAAGTTCATATGAGTCATAAGGGCTTCATCATGTGGGAATCATATCAGTAGCTAAGTGGTAAAACGGTTCAAGTCCTTATCTTCCAGTTTTTGAGAAATATTTCCGAATCTAAGGGAGATAGCGAAATTTTTGTAATTACATTGGTTGTAGTTCTCAATTCGCTCTACGAAAAAGGTTATAACAAAAATTTTGTTATCTCCCTTAGATTCCCAGATATTCATTGAAAACAGACCACTGGTAAAAATCGAGTTGAACCGGTTTACCACTTCGCTGATATGATCGTACTGTATCAGGTTGATGTGAAGATAATACAGTAATCTGCTGATAATTTCGGCATTAGGGCTGAAAATTTTTCGTACTGACACGTCCTGGAACTTCCCACTCTTTTGGGCCCCCTTGGAGGGCGTGACTTGAGAAGAGAGAAACCGCGAGACACACACAGAGAGAGAGAGAGAGAGAGAGAGAGAGAGAGAGAGAGAGAGAAGGGAATCTGTTCCACCTTTCCTCTAGTGGGACTGCGCACTTCTGCCGCGCAGAGGAGCACGCGCACTTACCCCTACCCTTTAACGGCCTCAGTGGTGGGGGAAAGCAACTTCCCTCACTTCTTTCGTCCAATTACTTTTCGTCTAACGTCAGTTCGTCCAATCACTTTTTCGTCCATTTTTTATCGTTTAAAAAAGTTGAAATGTTCAAGAATACTTTCAGAGAAAAGTGTGTCAATTTTTATCAATTGCGATATCGTACGAATGATAGAGAGACTCTACTGTAAGGAAATCTTACGAAGATTACCGAGCAATCTGTTTGAAATGAAACTTCCTCCTCGGTTTTTTCGACGTCGACTTCTTGTCCCTCCCTTTTTTCCACACATGAGTCTTCCACGCCGGGTCCTGAGCGTCATACGAAGGCTTCAGGTGGTAAAGTGCCATTTCCTGATGGAAAACAGGAGTTGCCGACCCCGAAAGCGGAGGGACTATCCACAACCAATCCGCCGGGCATCCCTTCCGCAGTCTCATCTCATTCTCGTAATGCTTCATGAAGGATTCCGATGCTGTGTGATGATCCACTATTGTTACGTTCTTAATCTGGGATGAGTAAAGCAGTCTTTATTGGATTACACACATTTCTTCCCCTTCCCCCCAGGGCGAAATGTTTCTTTTCCCGAGAGTAGTCATTACTGATATCAGTATCACCCGCACGTGACGATAAATTACCTGAAAGCTGTACAAAACAGCAACATTCGCTTCTATCATGGCTTTATCTTTCCACAGAGTGATTGGCGTTCGTGTGTCCAGACCCATGTTAATGGCTATTGTCTGAGGATATTACAAAAACATCGAGATAAACGAATGACGCATGTCTTCTTGTATTTCAAGTCGAGCAATTTTCCGAAGATATCGTAATTTTGCTCTTCAAATTTTTGTTGGCAATTACCTCGAGAAGATTGTAACGATTGACGTCACAGAGATCGCGCGCCCCAATTTCGGTGCTCATGTACCATCCGTTGAAGGGAGTAGCTGTGAATTCCAGACCTCCGCAGTCGAAGACCATCGAAGAGACTGCCGGTACGGCGAACCACTTCAATTGCATTTCTTCGAACCACTCGTATCTGAATCCGAAAAATATTTTTCTCTTTTTTTTTCTATTTCTCAAATACAGAAATTTTTCAATTTCATAATTTTTTCTCGGAAAAACCTATCGAATTCGATTTTTTTATGTAACTTATTCTTTTCATATATTTTCTATAGAATTTGCTCAACTCAAATTTTCCAAGTTTTTTTCATTCTATTTTTCTCTTCTCATCAAGAAAATCAAACGAAAAAACTTGGAAAATTTGAGCCGAGGAAATTTTATAGAAAATATCTCAATAGAATAAGTTATATAGAAAAATTAAATTCTATTGACTTTTTCTACTGAATATTTTCTCTTGAACATTTCAATAGAATTGTCTAACGAATTCGATAGGTTTTTCTATGAAATTTTTTCGTCCGTGCAAGAATGATGCAACTTGCGTTCGAATGATTTTTTCATCACCGCTACCCTTCTTGAGTTATTTCGGTCTGACTTTCAATTTGCGAAATCCTGTATACGACAATTATAAACAATACTTACGTGGGATGTTTTAAAGGAACTTCGAGAACAAGTTCCGCAGGAATATCAAAATAATCGGGATCATGGCCATTCGCCGAAAGAACTAGCGGCAAAACATCGAATCTAGTCCGAATGCCCGAGCGCGGGCCTCTCCATCCGAGTTTGAGGCATAACTAAAAATATCGCGAAAAATGTTATCCTGCAAACTGATGAAAGACAAAAATTGGTCTGACATGAAAATATCTCACATCAGTGAATTCTGCATTGGCGGGATCACCAAGAACACTGCCATCTTTATTTTTATACCCAGCGTAACCGATCAACTGTGAATTCCAGACTCGGTAATCGTGCTTGCCATCAGTTCGTTGTGGGAAAATCGTGATGGCAGACCTTGAGAAAAACAGAAAGTAAACAAGAAAACGGTGATTTCCGTTCAACAAATGATTTCTGATTTTTTCCGCCATCAATTAATGATAATTGTATGCGATTCACCTTATATTGCCCTTGTTAGTTCCGTACTTGATGTGATTGCATATAGCTTCGAACATTCCGCTCGTTGTCGTCACGTATCGGCAATCGAAAACCTGCAGTTTTGACCACTGAATTCGACCGATGCATCGGGCTGCATTTCTCCAGGCTAATTTCGCACCGAAAACTAATTCCGTTTCGCTCAGTTGATAGGTGCCGGTTGTTAGGACCTCTTTTTGGACGCTCTCCCATCGCAAGTGATGGGCATCACTATTCAATCTGAATTGAATAATGACAATTAGTTGACTCAAAAAATTTTCTTTTTTTTTTTCCTTTCAACTTGATTTTTGCCTGAACATTTTTCAATCACCTTCGAATGGATGTAAAATATTGGTCGAGAAAGTCCTTCGCGTGGACAAGAATTTCCTCTTTTTTTCGAGGCTCAGTCCCGTGGAAGGGAAGTGTCATGATACTTCCAAGACATACTTGTCCAGAGCAGAGAGTTTTCTGCAATTAAAAAATCCCTTGTCACCCATCATTCTCTCGAAAGGAAGAAAATTATAACTATTTAATTCACTCCTTGAGAGCCCAAGGGGGCGGAGCACTGGATAGTGTCATTACCCCTCCGCAAACGTAAAGAAATCCTCGGTAGATGTCAAAAATCAATGATAATTACGGAATTACCTCAGTTCCCCTGGGATGAAGGGAGTCAAACGCTTCAGTCTTGTAGATTAAATTTCTCAATTTAGTCGGCTTTTTCTGGCAACCAGTGGTCTCCTGGTCCTTCATGGTTGCTGGAAACCACGACCCTTTCACTCAAAACAAAAACTCGGTGATGAGGGAGTGAAAAAAAATCGGTGCTACACCGGCTCTGGCTCGAGAGCGACTGCGGGTCTTTGGCACTGCGTATTGGAGCTCAACGCAGTGGATTCGTTATCCCACATGCGCTCACAGCAGCATCTCACCATTGATTTCATCCCATCGGAGGCACCCGATTACGTACAACTCTCACGTTTTTTTTGGACAAATGGAGCAATAAGAGGATAATGAGATGGACAGTTGATGAAAAAATTATGAAGTCGTCGTATTCTCTTTTTTTTTTCGTTTTGAATAAATTATTCACATGTTCGGGATGGGGAAGTCGCCCCCAAAAGTGAAATGTCAGTGCAATTTGTTTTCGCTATCTCACACGGAGAATTGGAATTTTTTTTATATTACAATTTTTTTCGAGTTTACAACTCCGTAATTTCACTGGAATATTTTCTGTCGATACAGGTCAAACAAGCTTTTTTATTATCCTTCCAACGGGAAAAATAATATTTGCTCATTCCCCAATATCTCCCCCTTTTGACGAGCTTCCTATAATAAACAAGGAAGCACTTCGATACTTCTGCACGACCCCAATGTTCTATCGATTACATTCACTCATTTTCCGTAAAAAAGAGGATTGATGTCCAATATGAGGGCTGCACGAATGATAGAAAACGTTTTTCTATCAAATCGAATTTTGGTTGTTGCCGTGACGAACGCAATAATAATTTCATACTGGGGTCATTCTGAGTAGCTACACTAATTGTAGCGGGGAGTGGATAAGCTGAGGGTGTCAGTTCACATCTCTCAATTTATCTTGATAATGATCATCATCTAAGCAAAATGATGAGTACTTCGTCCCCAGAGGGATTGGTAATCTGAAGGTTGTGGATTCAAATCCCTCAATGAGTCTCAATGCTGAATGCCCATCATCGAGCCAAAAAGGTAAAAACTCCATCTCCACTCAAACAAAACACATGATCAATAATGATCCAACGTAATAAAAAATCTCATTAATTTAATTCAAAAAAATTTTGCACAATCAAGTACTTACATTAAAACAGTTGAGCAATAAATGAAAGACTTCGTCCCTGAAAAAATCTCAAATTCGCATGTATCGCCTACACAACTTACTATCAAAAGCTCAAGTAATATCAACAACTTTGAAGTACGTCTGCATAAGTACCCAATAAAGTACAACAATATCAACCCCCTTTAATCAACAATCCCTCGAGTTTAATCTAGACTCGAAGAAAGGTCCCACTTCATGGACCGCTCGACCGCCATCTTCCACTTGGAATACCGCAGGTCCCTCTCGTCCTCTCCAATAGCCGAACTGAACTTGGTCATCTGCGAAGGCTCGACCTCTGAAATATCAAGCAAGCCCGCACCGATGCCCGCCAATATGGCAGCACCCAAAGCCGTCGACTCCACCATGTGCGGCCGGAAAACATTGATCCCAGTCAAGTCAGCTTGGAGCTGCATCAGGAGATCATTAACAGTCATTCCTCCGTCAACGAGTAGAGCCGACAATTTTGTCCCAGAGTCCTTGGCCATGGCCTCCAGAATGTCCCGCGTCTGGAAGCAGACAGCCTCCAAAGCCGCCCGGATTATGTGATACTGCTGCGTGTCCTCAGTTATACCACAGATAACACCTCTCGCGTCCTGCTGCCAGTGGGGGGCGTACAGCCCCGAAAAAGCCGGCACGAAGTAAACGTCACCAGAATTCTTCACGCGTTCCGCCAACACCTGCGTCTCGGCGATGTTGCTGACTAGCTGCATGTTGTCCCGCAGCCAGGATAAGGCAGCCCCAGCAACTGCAACAGAACCTTCGAGGGCATAAACTGCCGGTGATTTACCGAATTTATAGGCAACTGTTGTTATTAGCCCTTGGGTCGAGTCGACTTTTACAGTTCCGGTGTTGTAGAGGAGGAAGCAACCTGTGCCGTAGGTGGCCTTTGCCTGGCCTGGCTTCAGGCAGAGTTGACCGAGGAGAGCTCCTTGCTGATCACCAACACATCCGGATATGGGGATTCCTGACAGACAGCTGGGGCTCGCGATCTTCCCGTAGACTTCCGCACTCGATCTTATCTCCGGGAGCATGTGGACAGGAATGCTGAAGAATTTTAGGAGGAGTGAGTCCCATTTTAGGGTCTCGATGTTCATCAGTAATGTGCGGGAGGCGTTGGAGACGTCTGTTATGTGGAGCTTTCCGTTCGTCAGGTTCTGGAAGGAATTAGAATTATTGGTCACAAATTTTTCATGTTTTTTTCGGTAGATTTTGTTTTCTGTTGCATTGCAGAATTCGAGGGGAAAAAACGGAAAATTGATGCTCAAGCATTCTTGTAGGAAAAATCTCAAGAGAAAAATTGAAACAGAAATTCGAAATCTATTGACTTTTTCTATTGAATTTTTTTTCTCACCCATATGAGCCACGTGTCAATAGTCCCGAAAGCACAATTCTCAGCGTCGACTGCCTGCTTCACCTTGGGAACATTATCGATGAGCCATCTGATTTTGAGAGCACTGAAGTAAGGAGACAGTGGGAGGCCACAGAGGGGCTTCAGGTAGTTCTTGTTTCTGGTCTTGTTTGGTATCTGATCCATGACGTCTTCGAGAGTCGTCGTGGTTCTCATGTCGAGCCAAACTTTTCAAAAAATTTAATAATTCTTAGATTTGTATACATTTACATATTGTACCGGAATCGAATGTTCAATTCAGTAGCGAAGCGGTAAACCGGGTTAAGTCGTTTTTTACTATTGGCTAGTTTTTGACGAATATCTCGGAATCTAAAAGAGATAGAAAGATTTTTGTAATGACCTTTTTTGTAGAGCTAATAGAGCGTTATAAAAAAAGTCATGATCAAAATTTTGCTATCTCTCTTAGATTCCGAGATATTCAGCAAAAACTGGCTAATAGTCAAAATCGACTTAACTCGGTTTACCGCTTCACTACTGAATTTATCAATGCTCTTCCGTCTTGACGTCTTGATTTATCATTGCTCTTCATCTGACGGTGTATCTTTATTAATTCGATTTTAACGCAAATATACGTTTCATTTATTCCATTAAAATAAATATCCTGTCCTCATGATTGTGATTCTAAATTCATTTAATTTATCGTCTATTCGTTACGATATTCAGAGAGGATAAAAATTAGATCATTTCCAACCACTCCCATTATGCAACTAATTCCCGTGAAAAACGAGGAAATTAGGGAGACTGCTTCGTACTACCTTCTTATTGTACCTATAGCATTGTGCAAGGGCTCCCCAGTCTTCTTATCCCACACAACAGTCGTTTCCCTCTGATTCGTAATGCCCACAGCCTTGATATCAGAACTGTTAATCCCCAGATCCTTCAGTTTCTCCATCACCTTCGTGATGCATTCTATTACTGCACCGAGAATCTCCTTCGGATCCTGCTCCACCCATCCTTCTTGAGGGAATTTTTGCTTTATCTCGGTCTGGTGGGACGTCACTACTCTTCTTTTTGCAACGTCAAAGATCTGGAAAAAAAAGTGCAAAAAAAATTTTTGTAAAAAAATTGTTTTTTCAAGTTTAAAATTTTAAAATTAAAGTAATTATAATAATTAACGATTTCAGGCTTGCGTGTATTATCTTTCGTCAAAAATTATAATTGTATAATCAAAAAAACGTTGAAAAAAATGAACATTTTTAGAGGGCGTTTTTGAATAATATTGGGAAATAAAGCCAATAGGGAGGAACTTGCAAATTAATACCCAGGAAATAATTGTTACGAATGCCATCTAAGTCCCCAGCAAGACCGGTAAATATCCGGAAATTTGCCGGTAAATTGTTAACTGGGTAATTTATAGTATTTAAGGGCTTCAGTTTTTTTACGTTCTTTTTAATTGTGCAATCATAATTTTTAGAGACACCTACGTGATGTACAATCCAGTACAAATTGTGATATATTTTAAATTATGAAGATCGAAAAACAATCGAGATAACGTTCGAAGGATATTCCGTCCGGGCCTTAATTTAGACTTTACAATTTTTCAAATTAGTAATTGAGTTTAAAAATTGAGTTAATAATAAGTAATAATTAGTACCGACGGCGGTGGTTGTGTGGCTACAGCGCGGGGTTGGCACGCGGACGACTCGGGTTCGATTCCCAGAAGGGGGGGAGGGGTTCCCGCAAGTGAGGTTTCTCCTTGGTCCTCTGCGAATGCGTTACAGGGGTTTGGAGGGGAGGAAGGAAACAAATCGTAAAAACCCGAGGGTATGCGAAAGTTCAAAATTTTTTTTTTTATAAATTTTTATAAATTAAAATTTTTTAATTTCAAAATTGAAACGAATGTTCTTATAGATTTTTTTTAAATTCAGTTTTTCACTGCAAGGAAATTCCATATTTCCACGAGGAAAATTCTTTGGATGACGTCATATTCGTGATTTTATAATAATTTAAAAAAATGGTGGGTGCTTACCAAAAATCGAGCACTGCTGGTACCTTCATCAATGGCGCCAACGTAGAACGGCTTCTTCTGATTGTCAGGCATATTTTTTTCATTTATTTGTTTACCCGATTTATGTTCGATATGGCCTGCTCCTACGGCCCTAATTTCTCACACGCTGACCCGATGATTAACCTTCCTATCAGAAATTACGTAAGTCCACTTTCTCAAATGTCAAGAGTCGATTTTCGGAGAGTCCGAGTGGAAGATCTAACCTCAAAATAGTATTTTTCGGCTCAAGTCTGAAAGTTGCTCGGAATTTTTAAAAATAGTCAAAAATAGCCAGTAACAATAGTTTACTACTGTTGCAAGAGCATCATTGTTGTGTTCGAAAATCAATTTTTCCCCTGGAATTTTTCTAGGATCTAGGGGAATTTCCCAGAATTCCTTCCGATAGAAGTTCAATTTTTTAGGAATCAGTCGTCAGCTTCATTTCGTTTTCACAATATCTAGGAATTCAGGGGAGATAATGGAAAAAAGTGTGAGAACCTTTTGTGTATGGAGAAATGAGCTATCTTTATTCAATTCCCAAATATTTCGGAGAAACTAATCGCGAAGTGAAGTTCACTTATTTTTATTTTCCACTTCATCCTGGATTTCCCAGATTTTTGGCAAGGGAAAACAATAACGATTTTTCCTTGAAATTTCCTAGATATCCCTAGCCCTTAAGGTAATTTCCCATCAGCATTCTTTTCGCGGAAAATTCAATATCTAACGCGGAAAATTATAAACTTCATCTCGTTAATGTGAAATACCTCCAAACCCAGAGGAGACAAAAAAAATTATCAGAACATTTTTTTCAGAAAAAAATGAGAGCTACAAAAAAGGTCTAATAAAATTTTTATTGACGCCCCCTATTTCCCAACTTCACCCCGATAATAAAAAACAATGACCCCGAATTTTCTCTTGTAATCCCCTAGATACCCTATCCCACAAACTAATTTCCCAGCATACCTTTCGCTGAAAATACAATATCTAGCACGGAAAATCATAAGCTTCACCTCAATGCAAAATACCTCCGAGCCCAGAGGAGATACAAAAAAAATGCTCAGAACATTTTCTGCAGAAAAAAACCAGGTCTACAAAAAAGGTCCAAATAAAATTTCTCTCATCTCTACTCAATTCCGAGAGATTCACCAAAATCGATTGTAAATTCAACTCCATTCCTCCCATTTTTCCCACTTCACTCTCACTCCCCCTCCCCCACACCTAAAAAAAAACAAAAAAATCCCCATAATTCCCTAGACCCCCCTAGCCGCAGTCCCACGCGTCAGAATTCCCTATTCCGCCCCGAAAAAAATCTCAAAACCCCCGAAAAACCCGACGAAAAAAAAACTTCTCTCCACTGCAGCAGTGGCGCTCGTCTCACTGTGCTCCTCGTCTCATTTCACTTTGCGTTACCGGTAAGGAAAGTCGTCTTTCTCCCCCATCTCCCCCGACTCCCGTCTCCGCAAAAAAATCCTAATTCAATTAACGATCCCGAAAAGCCCCGTAACCCGTGCAAATCACTCCTGCGAGAGTCTAAAAACCCGAAAACATTTTAATTCCAGGATTCAACAGTAAGCTGGCGACGTAATAAGTCATTATTCGACCGGACTTCTCAAATACGGTAGAGTAAGTACAATTTTTTTTTCATTAAAACAATTAGCCGTCAGTAATCCCCGTGTCAGTGCGACAATTTCCACCCGGGGGAGAATTTTTTTCTCGTTAATTATCGGTCATACCACGTCCCCGATTACGTAGACAAGAAGGTCGTGTCGATGGGAAGAGGTTACCGTTCTCGTGACGTGTCAAAGCCCCGAGAGATGTGAAGGAAGGGAAAAATTCTCCACCATTCCATATGGTCGTTACATCCGTGGCCCTCCAATCACTGCATTTTCACGCATTTTATTTTCCACTTCCCCGATTCAGGCTCGAGGGATAGCACTAAAAATCCGAATTCATATTCACGAATTTTAGGAATTTTCAGTCACTTTAATTTTTCCCGTTCGCGAGGAGTTATCACTGGGGGAAGATAGTGGCATTTGGGTTGAATCCAGTTTTTTTTCGGGTTTATACTCTATCTCGTGGACTTTGGAGTGGAGTTTTGGAGATTTGGGTGTGACGAGATTTCTTTATTCTTCAGGGGTTTCGCTGTTTTTTTCCGGGGGCGAGGCGGGTCGATTTTAATTTTTTCAGTTGGGGTTTTGGGGAGTATCTCGGTATTGAAGGGAGATGGCGAAATTTTTGTGGAAACACTTTTTACAGAGCGGAATGAGAGCTACGAAAAAGGTCTTTATAAAAATTTCGCTATGGCCCTTAGATTTTGAGATATCCTGAAAAAACCTAAAAGTGAAATGACAGATGAACATTTATCGTTTTTATTTCGCCTCCAGTTTTTGCTGTTTCATTTCGAAATTTGTGTTTAGCTCTCGTCGAAAATTCAGGCTCATTGCTTTTCTCACTTTATATTAAATTACAATTAGAAAACAAACTCAAACTGCCTTTCTTCATCGTCACGTCTAGATCAATTCACGTGCCTCACTAAAAAGAAAAACAACGTCTGAAAAAACAGATTTAATTTTCCTGTCCCTAAACATGAATTATAAATTCGAAATGCGTTCCAAAGCAATTATGACAACTGAGTCAATATTTTCCATGCACCCCTTATCGCCTTCAAAACACATCGAGCCCTAAGCAACATCCTGTTAATTACTCTTTCACTCTGACTCGATAAATAACAATAGATGTCGAAAAAAATTAATCCCGAGAAAATTAAAAAATATAGGGGAGGTTGGGGTAAAACGGACACTTGACTTTTTTTTAAATGTTAATGAGGGGTTGAAATGTTGATAAAACTTAATAATTTTTTTTCAATACAAAGAACAACTCTTTCCCTTTGTGACGAGCCTAAACTGAGCTCAATTGATCAATTTGTTTCTGAGTTATGAATAATTTTAAAAAAGTCTAAAGTCTCCGTTTTACCCCACCCTCCTCTATATATCCGCTTGGAAATCAAAGTCACATCCCCAGAAGCTGATAATAATAACACATAAAAGGTGGTTAAATACATCAAGCAGAAACTGAAGATTCAATTTATCTTTATCTTCATCTTTATTGGAAAAAGACTAAGACAAAAACCCTTGGGAGCCATAAGACAATACATTAGATTACAAAAAATGTTTTACGTTTTTAAAAGCCAATTTAGAAGATTGTAAGGATGTAAGAGGCAAACAATCATATTCACAATTTTTTTCAAATGCAAATAAATTTGTTCGTGACTTAAAAACACGTGGACATCCCCAGATTCACCAAAAGTAAATCTTCCGATGAGGAATGCACAGAATTATTACTTCTTCAAATATCCGTTGTTTATAAATAAATAATTGAAATTGTTTAAACTTTCGGAAACCTTATTTTTTCACACATTCAAGCGATTCCTAATAAAATTCTGAATATGAATAAATTTATTGTTTATAAATGATAAACAATCATGATGATCGAAACAAGAACAAAGATAATTGAAATGATTTATAGAGAATTCTCTCAATTTTCAAAAATTACAGTTTTTTAATTATTTCATCAATCTCCCTCCAGAAGTAAACTTTCTAATTTTGTTTAGATTTTTAAAATGTTTTTTAACGGTTCAATATCGACATTCAAATGCAGACCTGCAAAGTTTAAATAATGAAATAATTGTAAAATTCCGGAAGCTTGTGTCAAATGGGGCTCAAATCATTGTATCTCAGAAAATGATGAACGAATTTTCTGTTACCCTTCCAATTAAGCTATCATTTTCATCTCATTCACTTGTGGTACACTTTTTGGAAATTTTTATCGAATTTCATAACCACTGAAACTTCAAGGAATTTCGTCATTGAAAACTCATAATTTCGTGGAATGTATAGAAACAATTCGCATAGAAATATCCGAATATCATCTGCGGAAATCTATAGAATTTATCCATCTAATTGCCCGCGCCCCCCGTCTCCGAATTGAAAGTAGATGAAAAAAACTTTCAGTGCTACTGTAAAGACTCGGCACGATCCAGGACACTCTCAACCTAAAGGATGCAGCAGCAGCAATCAGCAATGGAGGAGGGAACGGCGTACGAGCCCCCCACCTACGACGAGACCTTCCCCGAGCTCCCGGGTTCCGGGAGTAACTCAATAACCCCCACCCCCCTGCCAAAAATGAACGACCGCATGCGAGTGGGTTCGTCCCACGTGACGCAAGTCTTTCACGTGCCCATGGAGGAGCGTAAATTCGATCACAGCAATAAATTCGGCGAGGGTGAGTCGATGCGGACATGTCAAGCGATAATGAAGGAGACCCACACGCACATTGAGATGTCATCCTCGAAGAATCAAGTCCTGACATTCGTTCTGACGGGCAAGCAGAACGAGGTGATGGACGCGAGAAGAAGAATCCTGGCGACCTTCCAGACGCAGACGAACAAGCAGATAACCATTCCGAAGGAGCACCACCGCTGGATCCTGGGGAAACAGCGACAGCGTCTGAACGATCTCGAGAAGACGACAGCCACCAAGATAAACGTACCCTCGGTGGACGTTCAAAGCGACATAATAATGATCACAGGAACAAAGGAGGGAATCGAGAAGGCAGAGCACGAGATGCGCGTCATCTCGGACGAGCAGTCGCGCAAGGCCTTCGAGCGTGTGATAGTTCCGAAGATCTACCATCCATTCATCCGCGGTGCACACGATGAGAATCTCACCTCGATGATCTCCGAAACAGGCGCCCGGATAAACATTCCACCCCCATCCGTTCAGAACGACGAAATCACAATAGCCGGCGAGAAGGATGGCGTTAACAATGCTAAAAGAATGATCGAGGAGATCTACAAAGACATGGAGAAACGCTGCAGCTCGGTGTCGGTTGAAGTCCCCAAGTCCCAGCACAAGTTCGTGATAGGGCCCAGGAACAGTACAATAGCCGAGATTCTGCAATTGACTGGGGTTTCCGTGGAGATGCCACCGGCGGACTCGCCAACGGGAACAATAACCCTCAGGGGCCCCCAGGAGAAGCTCGGCCAGGCCCTTGACAAGGTCTACGAGAAAGCTAACTCGGTGCGCACTGTGACCATCGAGGCCCCATCCTGGATTCACAAGTACATAATCGGTCGCAAAGGGGCCAACATCAACAAAATCACGCAGGATCTTCCGAAAGTCAACATCAGCTTCACCACCAATGTCGACAAGATAAAGATCGAGGGGCCCCCTGAGGACGTGGAGAAGGCGCGGGAGCATGTCGAGTCCCATGTACAGGATCTCATAAACAAGCTGACTTTCGTTGAACTCAAAGTTGACCCCAGATACTTCAAGCACATAATAGGAAAGAGCGGTGCCAATGTCAATCGTCTGAAGGAGGAGACCGATGTGGTCATCAATATCTTCGAGGCCGACGGCCAGAACATGATCAGGATCGAGGGAAAGGAGTCGGGTGTGCGGGAGGCCGAGACCCAGCTGACGGAGATGGTGAAGAAACTGGAGAACGAAAAGGAGAAGGACGTGATCATTGATCACCGCCATTACGCCAGCATAATCGGCAACAAGGGCTTCAACATCAAGGAGATCCGAGACAAGTTCAATTACGTTCAGATAACGATTCCAGGGCCCGAGGAGAAGGGCGACATTGTGAAAATACGAGGGCCCAAGTTGGACGTCGACAGATGCCACAAGTACCTCATGAAGCTTGTCAAGGAACTCGACGAGAACTCCTACGTTGTGGAGGTGCCGATCTTCAAGCAGCTCCACAAATTCGTGATCGGTAAGGGGGGCGCCAACCTGCGAAGGATCCGCGAGGAAACCCAGACGAAGATAGACTTCCCCTCGGAGGTGGACGACAACGACGTCATCACGATAACCGGTAAGAAGGAGAACGTTGAGATCGCCCGCGACCTCATCCAGAAGATCCAAAACGAGTTGTCGAACGTCGTGGAGGAGGAGGTGACCATATCCCCGAAGTACTACAACTCCCTGATAGGCACCGGTGGCAAGCTTATCCACTCCATCATGGAGGACTGTGGGGGTGTGACCATCAAGTTCCCCCCGGCGGAGAGCAAGAGTGACAAAGTAACGATCAGAGGTCCCAAGGACGACGTTGAGAAGGCGAAGCAACAGCTCCTCGAGCAGATTCACGAGAAGCAGCTGTCGAGTTTCTCAGACGTCGTGAGGGCGAATCCGGTCTACCACAAGTTCATCATCGGCCGCCAGGGGGCGAACATCAAGCGAATACGCGAGTCCACGGGGGCGAGGGTCATATTCCCGACTGAAAAGGACGAGGACAAGGAGAGCATAACGATCATCGGGAAGAAGGACGCGGTGGAGAAGGCCAAGGAGGAGCTGGAGGCCACCATCAGGGAGATCGACAACATCGTTGAGGACGAGATGCAGATCGATCCCAAACATCATCGGCACTTCGTCGCGCGGAGGGGAGGGGTGTTGTACAGAATCGCCGAGGACTGTGGGGGTGTGCAGATATCATTCCCGAGGGCGGGGGTCGACTCCGATCGGGTCATCCTCAAGGGCGCCAAGGAGTGCATTGAAGCCGCTAAGCAAAGGATGCGGGAGATCGTGCAGGAGTTGGAGTCCATGATCACTATTGAGTGCATCATTCCTCAGGTGCATCACAGGACTGTCATGGGGGCCAAGGGCTGCAAGGTCCAGACGATCACCTCCGAGTTCGATGTGCAGATCAAGTTCCCGGAGAGGGAACCTCTTCACAAGGAGGAACACGAGGAGCATCAGGTTAACGGGGAGGGGGGCGAGAACGGGGAAGTCAAGGAGACGCCACCCTGCGATATTATTAGGATTACAGGACAGCCGGAGAATGTTGAGAACGCCAAGAAGGCACTGCTAGATCTCGTTCCCATCACCGTTGAAGTCCCCGTGCCGTTCGATCTTCACAGGTTGATCATCGGAAAGTCCGGCAGAGACGTCAGGGTCTTGATGTCCAGGTACGATGTGCATATCATCCTTTCGCCTGCCGAGGAAAAGTTGGACTTCATCAAGATCATCGGCGCACCTGCAAACGTCCAGGAAGCTAAGGAGGCCATCTTGGAGAGGGTCAATGATCTCGAAGCGAAGAAGCAGGAGAGGGTGCTCAAGTCGTATGAAGTCAAGATTGAGATCGATCCGGAGTACCATCCGAAGATCATCGGCCGTGGGGGCGCTGTCATCAAGAGAATCAGAACCGATCATGATGTGCAGGTGAACTTCCCCAGGAAGGGAGATCCTGACGAGCACATCATCACGATCACTGGGTTTGAGAAGAATGCGCACGAGGCCAAGGACGAGATCATGAAGATCGTTAATGCTTTGAATGAACTTAATAAGGAGGAGATTCGTATCGACTCTGCTGTGCACTCGAGGCTCATTGGGGCACGGGGGAAGAATATCAAGAGGATCATGGATGAGTACAAGGTGGAGATCAAATTCCCGAGGAGGAATGATGAGGATCTGGATCTTGTGACCATCATCGGGCCCGAGGAGAATGTCGTCGAGGCAAAGGAGCATTTGCTCAATCTTGAACATGAATATGTGAGTATTTCTTGGTTATCTTTGAGGGCAGGTGCATTGTATGCATTCATTCTTTTTTCTTCAATTCATTTTTTTATCATCATTTCAATATTTCATTGGAAGAAACAAATATCAAACCAAGGGGTATATCCATGCGGAGATTTGAACCCACAACCTTTAAATTACCAACTTGATGCTTGGGTGTAAAAAAATGACTGGAATGCGAGGAAAACTTTGCGTCATGCATTCTCAGACAAAAGTGGATGAAAAAATCTGGAGGTTAGCTTGAAAAATTTGTTCATTTCTTAGAACTTGATGAAGCGAGTAGCATGCGATCTGAAGAGGGTAAATAATTTTCCGAAATGTTAAAAAATACGAGGTGGTTGACTGGTGTAGACGCCACCATCTTGCAGTACCCCCTCCCTCTACCGCAAGGCGGTTTAAAGATGGCGGCCCCCCACCTCGTATTTTCAAACATTTCTTACAAGTATTTATGAACTATTTGAAAATGAACAATTTTTTCAAATTCATTGTTTGAAATCCTGTTCGATTTCGAGAAGAATTCCGGACCTTTTCAACTTGTTGCCTGGGGTATTCAAAAACCCTCGCGGAGTACCAATTTCACCCGAGAGGTCTCAATCCGCCTTCCGAATTTCAGAAAATTATTTTTAAACATTTATCAAACATAAATCAGTGTGAATAATTATCTAGCAAATTATCGTGTAAATCAGCTTATGTTGAATTCACCCTTAATTAATCAATTAGTCGAGTTATCGAAAATCAGAATTCTTCTTTTGTTTACTGAGTTTTTTATCAATGGAAATTCAACAGCAAGTCAACACCGTGTTGGCAAGTATTCACCAAAGACAGTTTTATTTTGTTAGACAATCACCGTGAGTTACTGTGATATACGAAGTGCACCTAATTTTGTCTGTGCATAAATTAACTTTCAGGTCTAATTATCGGCTTTTCCATTGTCCAGACAAACTCATCCTGAAAATCATCGAACCTCAACATATTTTTAACATCGATTTTTTCGATTTTTTCATCCTCCTTCTGTTGAGCATCCACGAGACAAAGTTTTTAGGGCGTTTCAGTAGTTTTTTTTCTACTCCTGAGGTCCCTTAAAAGGAAAATCTGCGCAAAATCTCCAAAAAGAGCCTCATGACCCTTGCGGCATCATTAAAATATGCAATCAAATTTTTTCCACCAACAGCTTCAAGACATTGAGGAATGGCAAATCCGCCAATCCCTCACACGCACCAACAAACGCGAGTCCGAGCGTCCGCGTGGCAGCGAGTCAGACTCTGGTTTCGTAGTCAAGGGTGCACCCTGGGAGCAGAACGCCCCCCCGAAGAGTGCCCCGGACACAGCGAGTGTAGCTGACTTCCCGACCTTCGTCGGTCACGACTCCAACCAAGTCCCAGTCTCCGCACCCGAGGGCCCCTGGGGCAAACGTTAAGCCTCTGAAAAAAAAGGTAAAAACTTTCCTCTAACGAAGCGAAAAAATCGAGTGAGAAATTGGCATTCTTTCCTCGATTTTTTCAACAAAAGCAAAGAAAAAAATGGGAATTCTTCCATTTTTTTTTAAAATCATGATATACCCTCCCCCATCCATTGCTGAACGCTGCTGCACATCTGAATTAATGACCCTGGCCACTCAAATTGGACATCGAATGATTTTTGCTATAGAAATGCCAAACAATCTCGTTTATTTACTCTCCAATTGAAATTTGATAATTCTCAATGAGTTTTCTCTCGTGTTCATGTATCTGTAGTCGAAATCCATTTTACAACTCAAGTATTTTTTTTACACTGACTTGAGATTATTATCGAGGAATGGGTTTTCTCTACAGATATATCGTACTTAAGACTGTGGCTTCGACGTCGAAATGACATCCCTCGTGCAATTGTACATTTCCTCTATGTTGAAATTTACTTTTCCTCGAACAACGAATTCTTTTTTTGTACATAAAATTGCATTTTTCGTTCTCATTCTCGTAGAGTGATTTATTCTCTTGGTTATCGAGGGCCTTTTGTATTTATTGATAAAAAAAAAACGTGAGATTTTCGTCCCGTTGTGACTATTCTATTCATGTGCACCAGAAGAACATTTTTTTTTATTCAATCACATGAAAAAAACAGCCACAAGATGCATCAAAAACAACTAATAGTACTGATTAAATCGCATACGTCTACATGAGGCCAACTAGTTGATAAAATATTATGACTAAAAAAGAGAAAAAATAAGTGAAAGAGAATGACAAAAAATGAATAAAAATAATGATCTACTTATTCTGTTAAAAAGTGCCTTGTCTATTTTCTTCGGGGACAGCTCATTTTTTCAATTGTTGGAGGAATGTGAATATTAGTAATTATGTATATGGATATATTATATAATTGATTATATAAATGAATATTCACGTGTACTAAGTAACGAATAGAGACTAATAGCGATAGAAAATGCGAAAAGTAATAAAAAAAAAACAACGTATAAAGCTCTTCAAGTAGCCAATATATGCCGAATATTATGAATGAGAAATTAATGAATATAATGAATAATATAAGTTTTATTAATCATGAGAGATTGTGTACGTGTGTATGTGAAAATGATTGTGTAACGATAGAATTTCCCTCGAAGGGATGAAAATTGATAAATTAAATTTTCCATCGAGACGATGGTGTTAACGATGTTAAGGCATTTTCTAGATTTTCAGCCAATTTTTATAAGCCTAATGAAACGACCTACGTTCCACCATCACTGGGTAAATTAAGTGATCGATTAATCAATTGTTTGATTGATACAGATGATTAATGAAATTATTTGCTGATATCAAATGTGCATGACACCGGGAGATGAAATTTTATCAATTTTTTAAGTAATTTCGGATAGAATTGTAATTATTATACATAATATACATATTATGATGTAATGGTGGAATCATTGTGAGCTGGCAATTATCGTATGGAATTAATTGATTAATGAGAAATACTGTAATATTAGGGTAATGCCAATATGAGTAAATAAATCAATGAACTGTTGTTAAACGATTATGAACGATTGTTCCATTCATTTTATTTGCCCCTTTTTTTCCATAATTTTCAGATGATTTTTAGTGAATTATGATTTCAATATTTCATTGAAAGAAACAAATGTCAAATCAGGGGCAATGGCCACAAGGGGATTTTTCAGATTTTTCCATCCCCTTTTGGCTGAGAATTCATGTCGCAAAGTTTTCTCCGCATTTCAGTAGATTTTTTTTTTTCAAAATTAAATTATGAATCTATCAAGAACAAAAAAGGGGGAAAAGTAGCAAAAATATTTCACAAAAAAAAACATTCCTTCAAAAAAATTGATTATTTATTATTCTACTACAAAAATCGGCAATTGTCTATTTCATAATACATATTATATATCTCATGACTGTTTTCACAATGTCCTCATTCCTTTTTTGGTCTCAAGTTCTTTCAACTGCTTGACAAAACCCTCATTGGGTCTCACACAGGGTCTCGCTCTTTTAACTTTATCAAACGCCTCCTGAAAGCTCAAGTTCACCTCCCTCATGAGGTAAGCAATCACAACTGTGGGGGACCTAGAGACCCCTGCGTTGCAGTGCACAAGAATATTCTCATCTCGATGATTCCTGATCACTTTGAGACACTCAACGAGGGCGTCCGCTATTCTGAACTCGGGGATGTCTAGTATCTCGACGAAAGAATAGGAAATCGAGGGGAATTTGACGTCTGGCTCGATGCCGAGACTCAGAATGCTCTTGATATCGTTTTCTTTTAGGATTTCCAGGGAAAATACTGGGTCTTGGGAGCTCAGGAACACCCCAGGGGCGACTTTAACGACCTGGAGGTCTGGTTTGTCATCGACAACGAAGGAAAACCCTTCACCTAGCTTCTCCGCAGTCTCTCCTTGCATTTGGAATTTTTCACCTAAATAATTTGTTAGAATCGTTTTTGTTGGCTTGAGGGACTTCTTACGATTTTTTATCTGACTTGAGAAATCCATTTTATTCGTTCGAACAACTTTTACTTCTTGAGGTTTTTTATGCTGATATTATTTTCATCGACATTACTAATATTAATCTATGATTAATTATGTTTCGATGTTGGAGAAATTTATATGAACGATTCAACGAAATTTTCATTTGTCTGTCGTTTCGGCTATTCAATCCTTAAATACAAGAAAAGAATTTTTAAATAGAATAACCATGACGATGTGATAGCACTCCTGCAATCTCGAACAAAATATTTATCATTTCACTCGATTCTCCTTCGACTTTAAGAAAAAACTAGAAATAAATTCTCCTAAATTCTCAAAAGGACGAGGACAAAACGTTCTCGATTCCCCTATAAAAAAATCACCATTCACATTATTGCAGACAGCATCTTCTTCTTGGGCTCCTCTGGAGTCCCTTCATGATGAATAAGGTACTTATTCTGCATCTCCTCCTCGTCATAATTAACGGATTTGAGATAGAGTCCCTGAGGGGGTGCTATCTGAATCGAAGACAGCCAGTTCTGATTGTTGGGCACCTGCAGCATGAACTTTACCTCTCGTTCCGTGAGGGTCCCAGAGGCTATTCCAATGAGGGAGCCGACGATCCTCCGAACTTGGTTGTAGAGAAACGCTCTGGCTGCCACGTTTATCTGCCAGAAAGTGAATCCCTCAGACAGGGGATCGAGGGGCATGAGGGAGGGGACCTCCTCGAGGCTCAGGGATGATAGCGACCTGACGTAGTTTATCTCGCGGTTCGTGCGGTTCTTCGCTGCGAATGTCTCGAAGTTTTTTTTACCCAGAAATAGGGGAATTGCTCGTCTCAAGGCATCTATGTCGATATCCTCCCCCCTAGAAGTTGATATTATTACCAATTTCGAATTTTTTTTTTCTTCAAACACCTCAATCGTTTTCATGTAATTTTTCTCATCCCCCAATTTTAATTTGATAAACATGATTTAATAAATATCCACGTGCTCTTCAATATCAACTGTCACTCGTTGACATGTCAAAATACCACTAAAAATTCAATTTACAAACGGTTATGCAAGTCCCAGTTGTCATCAGGGATGGGCAATAATATTAGATTTTGACAATATTAAAAAGGGATTATCTCCAGGGATCCTCATCAATATTAAATTTCTGTAATATTACAAGGATTTGACCCTTACATTATTGAAGATTTAAAATATGTTGATTCAATTTTTTCAAATAATTTAATATTAATAATCTAATTTTATACGAATAATTATATATTTAAAATTTGTTAATATAAAACTGTAAATTTAGAATGAATAGAACAGTACTGCATTCGATTATTAATTCCAGAAAAAGAATTGAAAGAAATTGTCTCACCGAACATGCCAGGACCTCCCCAATTCAGCAATTGGTATCCTATGCTCCGTATTCTTCTTGGCAACCCCAAAACGATAAAAATATTCCCTAGACTTGGCTGACTTCCTCGCGTGAAAATCATCAGTAACAGGTAAAATCTTCGCCAATCGAATCTCGTGGCCACACTTCGCGAAATACAAATTAGATCGTCGGATTATTGGGTCTGTGTCGTAGATGATGCCTTCTGGATGCTCGAGGTCCACGTGAACAGTGGTACAGAGGGCGTGAACCCCAGCGTCAGTTCTAAAAACATCTTCGATGATTCAATGTTTTTGGGGCAATCCTCCATCGTCAGATTTTTTCATCACACATTTTGGGAATTATCTCGGGGACCAGTGGGTTTAGGAGAAAATTTCATAATATATTTTTTGTAGACAATTAAATTTCCCACAAAAAATTTTGTGGGACTTTTTCTCGTAAAACTACTCGTTATCGAGATATTTCAAGAATTAACAAGGTGGGAAAAAGGAATTTGATGTAGAAGAAGAATAAAGTAAAACAATTTTTCTTAAATTCTCAATATCTTTCGATCAAATCATGCAATTTTTATAAGTCGAGGCTCATTTTAAAATCTGAAAAACTGTCTTCAAAATAAAAAAATTGCAAAATTTCAATCTGCGAATCGCGAGTTATTAAAGCCTAAAACCGTTAATTTTATTTTTTCTTTCAGAAATTATCATTTTCCTTTGAAAAAAATGATTATTCACCTGCTTGATGTATATATCACTGGTTTTATAATACTCCTAGGCATGACAGTCGTATACAAACACGTTTCCAAAGCCCCTTGGATGGTGTCAATGTCCATAAGCCTCTCGCATCCAATTTGTTTAGCTGCACCCCTAAACAATTAAAAAAAATCCTCACCAAAAATACCTTCAAAATATCAAACAATTTCCATCGACTCTGTCTTCTAACTTTTCACCAATAAAAAGTGATCATAAGTACCTGTAGCGGCTGCCTATGTACGCCAAATATATCAAGTACCGAACCATAATTTGTTATTCACAACATTAAACATAAATCAAGTCTTCAAATTGAAAAAATTAAAAAATTGGACTGGAGTATTTTGTGAATTCGATCGTCACACGTGGGGAACATAACCTCACATTAAAATATGAAAAATTTGTAGACGTGAAGGTAATTTACCGACAAATTTAAATAATTCAGTATTATGAACTTTGCATTTAATTTGGTTTTAATTCCGCATTATTTGTAATTTTATGTTGATTCAATGTCAGAGAATGGTTATAATGTAAATTTATCAATCATAATTAATTGTAATTGTATGTAAAATGTGAGTCATCGAATTGAAAATTGCGAATTAAATGTTATCTCTGAATTATCAGTTACTTTTTTTTGCACTTGATATTGTTTCAGAAGAGGATGAAAGGCGAATGAAACCTCCGGCAAATTTGTCAGTGGTTATTTCGTATACCTCGGGAATAATGAATTTGGGGGAAATTGTCGGTGGAAACATTGTCAATGGATAAATTGTCGTCGGTTATTTTGTGGCATAAATTTTGTCCGCGGATCAAAAGTTACGGAACCACTGACATTGCACAGATTTGGCAAGACAGAGATAACGTAATATCTCTTGATAATTTCCAATCCAAACAGATATGAGCCCGCAAGTGTTTACTCGAGTTGGAACATCCACCCAGAAAAGTCTTTACATAATCTCCACATTAAAATTTTTCCTTTTTGCCTGAAGTAAAAACACTTGGGAAATGTCATTCATAAGATTGCTCTCCCTGATCGCGTCGATATTAATTATTCACAATGAAACCGTTAGTGCATTGAGAGTCCTCGCGATATACCCTTTCGCCGGCAAGAGTCATTCCATCGGAGCCGAGCACCTGCTCAAGGAAATGACGCGCAGGGGTCACAGTGTCGACGTCGTCTCCCATTTTCCCCAGAAAGAGCCCATACCTAATTATCGTGACATCAGCCTCCGAGGATCACTGCCAATATTCGCGAATAATGTTACGTACGACATGATCACAGAATACAGTATCATGCAGCCGAGGGAGTTTGTTGAATTAGCAGGGATCAGTGTGTGTGAACTACTGGGTCTTCCTGTTCTTCAAGAGCTGATGGAGAAGCCCAAGGGAACTTACGACGTTATAATCGTTCATGTAATTATCACGATTATTGAGAACATTTTTTTGTAACGAAGCTACTTATATTTATTTGGCATTTGCTAGGGCCTCTAAACATGAGAAATGTCTCTAAAGATGACATCAGTCTGTTTTCAATTGAAAAGGAGAGTTGTGACAACATTGTCTAGGAGGACAATGGGGTCTAGGAGTCTCCCCTGGTTCAAAACCATCTTTAGAGGCATCAGCACGCCATTTCTCGACACGCTCTTTCATTTGAGCAAAAAAACATTCATATCTTGTCTGACATCGCTGCTACAAACTCGGGTCTACAACTCCGGCTTTCAGTTGAAGGCCCCAAATGAAAGAGCGGGTCGAGAAATAGCGTGCAGAAGTTTTAAGAACTTTAAAGATGACAAAAACCAGGGTAGAAAATCATAGTTTGTAGCAGAGATGTCAGACTACATGTGAATGTTTTTTTCGGCTCAAATGAAAGAGCGAGTCTCAAAATGGCGTGCAATTAATCAATTTTACAAAAGAGGGGAAGAGGATAAATTAAACCATTCGATTCCGTAACAATATATAAGATATGCAAGTTTAAGATGGAAATAATCCTAAGTCAACCATGGTGAAACAGATCGCTAACAATAAACGTAACATTCTTCTTTCTGTAGTTATTCGCTGCTCACTGTTACATCGGATTCGGTCAGAAGTTGAATGCTCCAGTGGTCGGGGTCGTAACATCCAGATTGCAGGACTGGTTGTTCGACCCTTTCGCGAATCCTCTGAATCCGTCATACATACCGAGCTTTTTCTCAACGTTCACGCAACACATGACCTTCTGGGAGCGATTGCAGAATACATTGATTACTGATAGCACTCGTCATCAATTCAGATATTGGTTGGAGGCCGAGAGTCTTCAGGTGGAGAAATATTTTGGCAGGAGGATTTCATCGCTCTATGAGCTGTACAAGGATGTGTCCTTAGTTCTCGTTAATGAGCACTTCAGTTCGAATGACATCAAGCCTGCGACACCAGACATCATCGACGTTGGTGGACTGCATATTTATGATAATACTCAGCAGTTAACGCCTGTGAGTGAATCGCAGGAGAATTTTTTCTCTTTCTCAGAATGAGAATTTCAATTTATTGCATTAGGTAATGAATTTTAGGAGTTACAAGATTGGTTGGACGGGAGTACCGAGGGCTGTGTATCTTTCACGTTCGGATCGAACGTGATCATCGAATCCTTTCCCAAGGAATTATTGAAAGCATTTTATCAGTCCTTCAAGAGAATCGCACCAGTACGAGTGCTGATGAAAGGTGATCCCAAAGCTCTTGTCAAAGATTTGCCGAAAAATGTCAAGATATTACCGTGGATTCCGCAGATAGCTGTGCTGAGTGAGTTCACGAGTCATTCTCATTGTCTCTTTTTATCATTTTACGTATTTAGACCCCCATGACTCTTATTTTAAACCCTATGACACTTAATTTTCTAGTCTTAATTTCAAGTACCAAATTTTTATCATCAGAAGTCGATTTGACTTTTCTTCTTTCGCTTATTGTGAGCTTATCGAATTTTTAAATATTTAGTTCTATATAAATTTAACAAATTATCATGAGCCAATGGTATATGCTCCAGAACATAAGAACGTCAAGGCATTCATAACTCACGGCGGCCTCCTGGGAACTCAGGAAGCTATTGCTCACAAAGTTCCAATGATCGGTATTCCTCTTTTCGGTGATCAATATACAAATATGCAAAACTATGCAAATAGAGGAATCGCCGTGGTTCTGGACGTGAAAACCCTCAACGAGAATTCACTCACTAATGCGATTAATACCGTTCTGAAGGATCCAACTTACAGGTTCGTCCAATTAAAATTGATAGAATTGATTTTATCATCCGAATGAAAGAATTCGCTGATGAATCGTTATTGTTCGAACCAAAATTCCATGTAATTACAGGAAAAATATTGCGAAAATGTCGGCCCTCTTCTGGGATCGCCCGATGAGTCCTGTGGACACGGCCATTTACTGGATTGAATACGCAGCGACACATGGGCCCGTCTTGAAATCACCAGCAACTGAGTTATCCTGGTGGAAATTCTACTCGTTAGATGTTTATGGTTTCATGTTAATGTGTATTCTCACAATTATCTACACAATCATCAAACTGATCACGCTGCTGTGCAGGTGCAGTCGCACACAGAGAAAAAAAGTCGATTAGCTTTAGAAAAAAAATGTTTGAAATTGATGATCAAAAGTGAGATTTATTTTAAATTAACCCCCCTCCTCACATCTGAAACTCCTGATATTTGGGCACCCCTCCCTATGTATGGAGCACTTACGCCCTTTAAACACCTCGGCCGCAATTTTTTAGTTCAATCTGAAAATTTTCTAAAATTAAGAAAAATCAGCATTGGTTTTAGAAAATATTTGTTCTTAAAAACAATTCCCAAATTCGTTATTTTATATGGTCCCACCAATGATGAAGCTTAAGAACAGGAGATTCTAAATTCTAGAAACTAGTTTCTGAAGCTAATCCACTTGTTTTATCTGTGTAGAACTCAGCCGAAAAGGGTCTCCAGAGCCAAGAAACACAAATAAATAATTTTCATGTCATTCATGTAGATTTTCAATTCACATGAGGACAAATAAAAAATATCAAATCGTTTTCATTTGCGCATTTTTTTTAAAAACCAGGATCATGGGACATCTCGTAAGTGTGAAGGTACAATTCTTCATTCGAACTTTCCTCATCTGCATAAACCGTGTTCAGACATTCTCCTATCACATTACACCATGTACATGTATATATCCATATATATACTCAATATCTTATCGCCAACTCCGCTGAGATAACATGATTGATCCTCTCCGCTCGTTATTTGGCCAAAATTTCAGATTCTCGTGTGGAGAATTCCCATTTAACACATCAAACCGTGCAGCATTCACAAAGTGTCATTCAAGTTTAAGCAGTCATATTGAACAGTGATTACGCAATTGAATAATTTCAAATCTCTCATCGCGACAAAATGTCATTAATAAAATTACTCCCCCTATTTGCATCACTGTTGATTATTCAGAATGAAAATGCAAGTGCACTGAGAGTTCTTGGAATTTTTCCATTCCCTGGCAGGAGCCATACGATTGATGTCGAACATTTGCTCAAAGAAATGTCCCGCAGGGGTCACACTGTTGACCTCATCTCCCATTTTCCTCAGAAGAAGGCGTTACCGAATTATCGTGACATCAGTCTCCGAGGATCACTTCCAATGATCGCGAATAACGTGACATTTGGGAAATTTAAGACTTTCAATTCAATCGGGCTGGAGCGATTCATAAAAGTTACAGGGACTGATGTGTGTGATTTACTGGATCTTCCCGTTCTTCAGAAGTTGATGGAGACACCCAAGGGGACTTACGACGTCATCATTGTTGAAGTAATTATCGCAGTTCTGATTTCATCAAACTAATGCGCATTTATCTTCGTCCCTGTAATTTGTTGATATTTTCTAGTTGTTTGTCTCCCACTGTTACATTGGATTCGGGCAGAAATTGAAAGCTCCAGTGGTGGGGTTCGTAACGACCAAATTAGCGGATTGGCTCTTTGCCCCCTTCGCGATTCCGCTGAATCCGTCATACATGCCGAGCATGCACTCGGGTTTAAATCAACGAATGACCTTCTGGGAGAGATTGCAAAATACGTTGCTGATTGATAGTATTTGTATTCAATTTGATCATTACTTGAAGGCCCAGGTTCCTCAGGTAGAGAAGTATTTTGGCAGGAGAATTTCATCGATCGATGAGTTGTATAATGATGTCTCCTTAGTTCTCGTTAATGAGTACTTCAGTACGAATGATATCAAACCCGCGACGCCAGACATTATCGACGTCGGTGGACTACATATTTATGATGATCCTCAGCAATTGACGCCTGTATGTGGATCACAGAAGAATTTCTTCACTTATTCAAATTGACAATTTCAATTTATTGTATTTGGTAATGAATTTTACCGGCGATGGTGGCCGAAGTGGTTAAATCGCTCGGCCGGACGGCGGGACCCGTGAGGCGCGGGTTCGAGTCCGGCTCTGGGCAATCGGGATTTTTAATCTTTCGGAAATCGTCAATCGGAAATCGTAAAGATGGCATTGAACCAGGGGAGACTCCTGGACTCCAATGTTCTATACATACTCCTAGACCCCATTGTCCTCCTAGACACTGCTTTTCAGTTGAAAACAGACATCATCTTTAGAGACATTTGTCATGTTTAGAGGTATCAGCACACCATTTCTCGAGCCGCTCTTTAATTTGAGCCCAAAAAAACATTCATATCTTGTCTGACATCGCTGCTACAAACTCGGGCCTACAACTCGGGCCTTCAATTAAAGGCCCGAGTTGTAGGCCCGAGTTTGTAGCAGCGATGTCAGACAAGATATGAATGTTTTTTTGGGCTCAAATGAAAGAGCGGCTCGAGAAATGGCGTGCTAGGGCCTCTAAACATGACAAATGTCTCTAAAGATGATGTCTGTTTTCAACTGAAAAGCAGTGTCTAGGAGGACAATGCGGTCTAGGAGTATGTATAGAACATTGGAGTCTAGGAGTCTCCCCTGGTTCAAAGCCATCTTTAAAGGCATCTGCACGCCATTTCTCGATCCGCTCTTTCATTTGAGCCCAAAAAAACAGTCATATCTTGTCTGACATCTGTGCTACAAACTCGGGTCTACAACTCGGGTCTTCAATTAAAGGCCCGAGTTGTAGGCCCGAGTTTGTAGCAGCGATGTCAGACAAGATATGAATGTTTTTTTGGGCTCAAATGAAAGAGCGGCTCGAGAAATGGCGTGCTAGGGCCTCTAAACATGACAAATGTCTCTAAAGATGATGTCTGTTTTCAACTGAAAAGCAGTGTCTAGGAGGACAATGCGGTCTAGGAGTATGTATAGAACATTGGAGTCTAGGAGTCTCCCCTGGTTCAAAGCCATCTTTAAAGGCATCTGCACGCCATTTCTCGATCCGCTCTTTCATTTGAGCCCAAAAAAACAGTCATATCTTGTCTGACATCTGTGCTACAAACTCGGGTCTACAACTCGGGTCTTCAATTAAAGGCCCGAGTTGTAGGCCCGAGTTTGTAGCAGCGATGTCAGACAAGATATGAATGTTTTTTTGGGCTCAAATGAAAGAGCGGCTCGAGAAATGGCGTGCTAGGGCCTCTAAACATGACAAATGTCTCTAAAGATGATGTCTGTTTTCAACTGAAAAGCAGTGTCTAGGAGGACAATGCGGTCTAGGAGTATGTATAGAACATTGGAGTCTAGGAGTCTCCCCTGGTTCAAAGCCATCTTTAAAGGCATCTGCACGCCATTTCTCGATCCGCTCTTTCATTTGAGCCCAAAAAAACAGTCATATCTTGTCTGACATCTGTGCTACAAACTCGGGTCTACAACTCGGGTCTTCAATTAAAGGCCCGAGTTGTAGGCCCGAGTTTGTAGCAGCGATGTCAGACAAGATATGAATGTTTTTTTGGGCTCAAATGAAAGAGCGGCTCGAGAAATGGCGTGCTAGGGCCTCTAAACATGACAAATGTCTCTAAAGATGATGTCTGTTTTCAACTGAAAAGCAGTGTCTAGGAGGACAATGCGGTCTAGGAGTATGTATAGAACATTGGAGTCTAGGAGTCTCCCCTGGTTCAAAGCCATCTTTAAAGGCATCTGCACGCCATTTCTCGATCCGCTCTTTCATTTGAGCCCAAAAAAACAGTCATATCTTGTCTGACATCTGTGCTACAAACTCGGGTCTACAACTCGGGTCTTCAATTAAAGGCCCGAGTTGTAGGCCCGAGTTTGTAGCAGCGATGTCAGACAAGATATGAATGTTTTTTTGGGCTCAAATGAAAGAGCGGATCGAGAAATGGCGTGCTGATGCCTCTAAAGATGGCTTTGAACCAGGGGAGACTCCTAGACTCCAATGTTCTATACATACTCCTAGACCCCATTGTCCTCCTAGACACTGCTTTTCAGTTGAAAACAGACATCATCTTTAGAGACATTTGTCATATTTAGAGGCCCTAGCACGCCATTTCTCGAGTTGCTTATTGATAGTATTTGTATTCAATTTGATCATTACTTGAAGGCCCAGGTTCCTCAGGTAGAGAAGTATTTTGGCAGGAGAATTTCATCGATCGATGAGTTGTATAATGATGTCTCCTTAGTTCTCGTTAATGAGTACTTCAGTACGAATGATATCAAACCCGCGACGCCAGACATTATCGACGTCGGTGGACTACATATTTATGATGATCCTCAGCAATTGACGCCTGTATGTGGATCACAGAAGAATTTCTTCACTTATTCAAATTGACAATTTCAATTTATTGTATTTGGTAATGAATTTTACCGGCGATGGTGGCCGAAGTGGTTAAATCGCTCGGCCGGACGGCGGGACCCGTGAGGCGCGGGTTCGAGTCCGGCTCTGGGCAATCGGGATTTTTAATCTTTCGGAAATCGTCGAACGGAAGTCTAGACACCGAGAATCATCGGAGACGTGTTAGGAAAACATTCTCCCATGAAGCTCGGTCGATGGACGCCCGTGTCGATCAAGGTATTCCACGGTTTCCCTTGGTCACCAGGAGAGTGTACGCGGGGTACAGCTCCTGGAGTACAATGCGACACGGTTGGAGAGGAAATCGACTCATGAAACCGCAAATATGTAAAAACTCGAATAGGTTGTATTGGGACGCTATTTCCCGATGGTGGCGTGGTGATCGCCCTCATAACATGGACGACCCATGGTTTACCCGTTTAAATTTTTTCAAACCCTCACATTGTAGCTGAGAGTAGTACTTCCTCTTCGTCTCATTCACTTCTGCATTGTTTTTTATTGTTGTACTCAAAGCTCCGATGTTGTCATATTTTAGAAAGACTTGAGGATTTGTAAAGTAATTGATTGAAGCACCAACGCTAAACCATCGGACGGCCATTTTTCTTAGTGCAGGCGATACCCATACCCGACATCGCAGCGATTTATAGCGTCCCCAATATGGCAAGGAAAATAAATGAAATGGTAATGAATTTTAGGAGGTACAAGATTGGTTGGATGAGAGTACTGAGGGCTGTGTATATTTTACATTCGGCTCCACTGTGAACCTCGAATCCTTCCCCAAGGAATTATTAAACCCATTCTATCAGTCCTTCGAGAGGATTGCACCAGTACGAGTGCTGATGAGAGGTGATCCCAAATTTCATCTCAAAGATTTGCCGAAAAATGTCAAAATATTACCGTGGATTCCGCAGATAGCTGTGCTGAGTGAGTTCACGGGTCATTCTCATCGTCTCTTCTCATAGAAGTCGTAAATATTTCGGTCAATATAAATTTCGCAAATTAACATGAACCAATGATATATCCTCCAGAACATAAGAAGGTCAAGGCATTCATAACTCACGGCGGCCTCCTGGGAACTCAGGAAGCTATTGCTCACAAAGTTCCAATGATCGGTATTCCTCTTTTCGCTGATCAACATAATAATATGCGAAACTATGAAAACCGGGGAATTGCAGTGGTTTTGGACCTGAAAACCCTCAACGAGAATTCACTCACTAATGCGATTAATACTGTCCTGAAGGATCCAACTTACAGGTTCGTGCAATTAAAATTGAGAGAATTGATTGTATCATCCGAATGACAGAATTCGCTGATGAATCGTTATTATTCGAACCAAAATTCCATGTAATTACAGGAAAAATATTGCGAAAATATCGGCCCTCTTCTGGGATCGCCCGATGAGTCCTGTGGACACGGCCATTTACTGGATTGAATACGCAGCGAGACATGGGCCAGTCTTGAAATCACCAGCGACTGAGTTATCCTGGTGGAAACTCAACTTATTAGATGTTTATGGCTTCATGTTAATGTGTGTTCTCGCAATTATCTACACAATCATCAAACTGATCACACTGCTGTGCAGGTGTGCTAGTGGAACTCATTCGAAAAATGTCTCGAAGGCCAAGAAACACAGATGAATCATTTTCATGTCATTTATGTAAATCTCGAATTTTCATCAGAATGAATGAAATATTACATTGACAACTTGTTACAAAGATGTGAGCTTTTATTCAATCCCTGCATCAATTCAGGAGTGAAGCGGTAAAGTGACTTAAGTCGATTTAGGCCTCAGCTTTATTTTTAGAAATATCTCTGAATCTAACGGAGATAAAGAAATTTTCGTAATAAAATTTTTCGTAGAGGTAATTGAATTGTGCTATCTCCTTTAGATTCCGCGATGTTCATTGAAAACTGGCCGATGCTCACAAGCGACTTAAATCGTTTTATCACTTCGCTACTGAATTACCCCAATGTGTGGTACTCTGTATCTCTTGAGAATGAGTGAGCTTCACACTACTTCATCTTAGTCCCCTCTGATTGCCATCTCTTGTGACGTGGCGCTGCAACACCCGTACATGCTTCTTATCGTAACCGCCGTCTTATAATCTTTCAGGAATTATTTATTAAGAATCCAATGAAGTGGTAAGAATTGGGTATAAAATATCATTAGTGGTAGTTCCGGAGAACACTTGTTGGCGCACAGCAGGCATCGTTAGGGGGCTAATTCCCTCAGCTTGAGTTATTAATTTTGTTATTTCGTTGCAATCAAAGTCAAGTGGTAGCACAGTCAAGTGGTAGTAGTCATAACGACAAGTTATTGCGTAATTTTTCGGCTTCACTTCAGTGTTAATTGACATATAAACCTTGGAGAATGTCATTGATAAAATTGCTTTTCCTATTCACGTTAATATTACTTATTCATAATGAAAACACAAGTGCATTGAAAATCCTTGCGATTTTTCCATTCGCTGGCAAGAGCCATTTTATCGGAGGCGAGCATCTGCTCAAGAAATTGACACGCAGGGGTCACAGTGTTGACGTGGTCTCCCATTTTCCTCAGAAAGACGCGATACCGAATTATCGTGACATCAGTATCCGAGGCTCGTCTCCCATTATTGCGAATAATGTGACATTTGACAATTTTTCGAAATTTAATTCTGTCCAGCACAAGAATTTTGTGGAAGCCGCGGGGACTGATGTGTGTGATTTACTGGGTTTTCATGTTCTTCAGGAGCTGATGGAGACACCCAAGGGGACTTATGACGTTATCATTGTTGAAGTAATTGTCATTATTTTTTTTCTGAAATTAGTCTGTAAAACAGAATTTTACAGCCAATTCAATTCTAAAGTGAGGGGATTTTTTAAAGAATGCCTCTGGATTTTTTTGCAGAGCGAAATGACTTGTACGAAAATTTTGATTATTCATCGAGATGATGGGCATGAATGCATTCATCTTCATTCACGTATTTCCTAATATTAAACTGGGGAGCTACAGCTGCTTGCTCCGTTCGCCAACACCCATATGACCCTCATGTGACCCCATGACCCTTCATTTCGAGTATCAAATTTTCATCATCACTTATTATAACCCTTTTGACCCTTCATTTCTGACACTTAATTTTAGAGTCTTAATTTCGAGTACCAAATTTTCAGTCGATTTAGATTTTTACAATATTGAGAGAAAAAATTTTTTTTCTGCTTCAATATTTTACGCATATCCATGAATTACCTAACAGATGGCTGAAGGTCATTGTGAGTGATGGAGATTATTTTGATGAATAAATGTAGTTGACTTTTTTCGAAAATCAAATTTGAATTTTCTAGGAAGTATCCTTAAACATATTTGCACACCTAATATAATTTGCAGTTCTTTGCTGCTCATTGTTACATCGCATTCGGTCAGAAGCTGAATGCTCCTGTAGTGGGATTCGGAACGTCCAAATTGCAGGATTGGTTATTCGGCCATTTTGGGAATCCCCTTAATCCGTCGTATATGCCGAGTTACTTTTCAACGTTCGCTCAACGGATGACATTTTGGGAGAGATTGCAGAATACGTTGCTGATTAGTAGTGTTTGTATTCAATTTGATCATTACTTGAAGACCCAGATTTCTCAGGTAGAGAAACATTTTGGCAGGAGAATTTCATCGATCGATGAATTATTTAATGATGTATCCTTAGTTCTCGTTAACGAGCACTTCAGTACGAATGATATCAAGCCGGCGACGCCAGACATTATCGATGTCGGTGGACTACATATATATGATAATACTCAGCGATTGGCGCCTGTAAGTGGGTTACAGGAGAATTTCATTTCTCTTTCAAATGAAGAATTTCAATTCAGTAGCGAAGTGGTGAACCGGTATAAGTCGATTTTGACAATTGGCCAGTTTTCAATAAATATCTCGGAATCTAAGGGAAATAGTGAAATTGTTATAATTTCCTTTTTTGTAGCTCTCAATTTGCTCTACAAAAAAGGTTGTGACAAAAATTTTCCTATTTCCCATAGATTTTGAGGTATTTATTGAAAACTGGGCAATAGTTAAAATCGACTTATACCGGTTTATCACTTCACTACTGAATTTATCATATTTGGTAATGTATTTTAGGAGGTACAAAATTGGTTGGATGAGAGTATCGAGGGCTGCGTATATTTTACATTCGGCTCCACCGTGAATATCGAATCCTTTCCCAAGGATTTATTAAAAGCATTCTATCAGTCTTTCGAGAAGATTGCACCAGTACGAGTGCTGATGAGAGGTGATCCCAAAGCTCATCTCAAAGATTTGCCGGAAAATGTCATGATATTACCGTGGATTTCACAGATAGCTGTACTGAGTAAGTTCACGAGTCATTCTCATCGTCTCTTCTCGATTATAGATTGAGATTTAGAAGAGCGAGGGGAGCGAGTAGAGGGCGACACCATAGAGTCGAGACAGAAGTGTGAGGAATTGTCGAGACCAAAGAGCTGTATTATTTTTTATTCATTCATATTCGGAATAACTCATTTAAATTTATTTGATCGAGTTGGGATTATTGAGAGAGCCTTGATTAACCGAGGGGGTTAATTAACATTTTTTCTATCAAATGATATATGTTCCAGAACATAAGAACGTCAAGGCATTCATAACTCACGGCGGCCTCCTGGGAACTCAGGAAGCTATCGCTCACAAAGTTCCAATGATCGGTATTCCTTTTTTTGGTGATCAACATACGAATATGCGAAACTACGAAAACCGAGGAATCGCCGTGATTCTGGACGTGAAAACCCTCAACGAGAATTCCCTCACTAATGCGATTAATACTGTCCTGAAGGATCCAACTTATAGGTTTGTGCAATTAAAATTGATAGGATTGATTGTATCATCCGAATGAAAGAATTCGCTGATGAATCGCTGTTATTGGAACCAAAATTTCATGTAATTACAGGAAAAATATTGCGAAAATGTCGGCCCTCTTCTGGGATCGCCCGATGAGTCCTGTGGACACGGCCATTTACTGGATTGAATACGCAGCGAGACATGGGCCAGTCTTGAAATCACCAGCGACTGAGTTATCCTGGTGGAAACTCTACTTGTTGGATGTTTATGGTTTCATGTTAATGTGTATTCTCGCAATTATCTTCACAATCATCAAACTGATCACACTGCTGTGCAGGTGCGCTAGTGGAACTCGTCCGAAAAATAAGGTCTCGAGAGCCAATAAAAACAAATGAGTAATTTTCATGTCGGCAGTGTAAATTTTCAATTCACATGAGAATGAATAAAACATATCAAATAATGTGTGAAGTCTTCATCCAATCAACATCAACCGTCTTTCACCTCTACAATTGGGTTTTTTTTTTTTCAATCCATTGAGTTTGGTCGAAACTACGAATGTTTTTGTCATTAACCCCCAAAAAAATCGTTGGTTTTTTATTTTTGTAAATATGTTATGCACCGATCTATTTTGATCATTTTGATATGTTATTCAGGACATTATCTATCGAATTGATATTTTTTCATCACCGGTGAAATAATTTAGCAGTTAGGCAATTTTTGCGTCTAATTTCACTAAAGTCCATAATTCCAAACAAAACACGTAAAAAATCAACTCGCAGAGAAACTAACAGAAATTCGAAATCTGTTGACTTCTTTAGATAAATAAAATTGTCTGTCATTCCTTGAACTTCACCATCGCTCCAAGTATTACCTCACCCGACCTTGATAGCCCCTCAATCCCCAGAGAGAACCACTGACACGTCACAGGCCACTCGACTCGAGATACGAGGAAGTCGCAACCGAGTAGTGAACAGTCATTCAGTTTAGCAACAGAACGCAGCGAGAGCTCCTCGTCATCCACTTGGCAAATTAAATAGACCCATCGTTATGTCGCTCATTCGCTCTCTACTGCTGGTGGCAGGAGTGTTAATCCTGCAATCCGAAAACACAAGTGCGTTGAGAATTTTGGGGGTCTTCCCCCTCCCTGGGAAGAGTCATTTCATTCTGGGTGAGAACCTCCTGAAGGAATTGGCGAGGCGGGGCCACAGTGTCGACATGGTCTCCCATTTCCCCGCGAACAAACCGATTCCAAATTACCGCGATATCAGTCTCAAGGGGTCAATGGCCATTGCTGTTAACAATATAACGTTCGCGGAGACGAAGCAGTTCAACGGGTTCTCCATGGCTTTCTTCGTCAGACACACGGGGACCGAACTGTGCGATCTACTTGGGAGCCCTTATTTCGAAGAACTGATGAAGACGCCGAAGGGAACTTATGATGTTATCATTGTTGAAGTAATTACATGTGATATTACGACATTTTTTTATCGCTATCATGACAGATAACTGAACTTCCAAGGTGCTCTTACAATATCATGGTTACTCCGACGCAATTGTTTTGATCAAGTCTGTAAATTTCACGAGAATTGCATGCGGATTCTTCAGGAGACATTTCAATGGATAATTTTTATAGGGAATCTAATGTAACTTTATCGTTATCTGTCTTGTAGATAAGGTAGTGATTAGCTCAAACATTTGTTGAACCGGAGGACACGATTGAGATTGAATTTCAGACAATGTTTTGAATCTATGCTAATTTCAGACTGCGAAGTAGTTGATTGTTTATGCAGAATAATTTATTTCCGTAATGACTTTCGTGATTACGAGGTTTTTATCGGGAATTATGTCATTTCAGCATGAATTGTTTACAGTTGAAGACGAGATTGACATTTTTTTAATCGGTCGTTTTTTATTTTTTTGTTATAAGAGGCCTCGAGAGTAATAAAAGGACTGAAACGCGGGAAAAACACTACGTCATGAATTTTCAGTCAAAGGATCATGAAAAAATCTGAAGAAAAGCTTAATAAATTTGTTCATTTTTTCGGAACAGGACGAATCGAGTTAATGGTGATCTGATGAGGATAAATAATTTTAAGAGATGTTCAAAAATACGAGTTGGTTGGTAGGTGGACGCCATCTTCCTTGGACGCCCCCTCCTTCCCCCGTCAGCGTATTCAAAATGGCGGCGCCCCCACCTCGCGTTTTCAAATGTTTCTTGAAGTTATTTCTCCAAATTATTTCTTGAAATTATTTTCGGCATCCATTTCTATAAAATGAACAAATTTTTTTATCCATCTTTCATTTTTTTTTTCATTTGTTGTCGGCCGAGAATTCATGGCGCAAAGTTTTTTCCCCATTCTAATAATTTTTTTTTACTCCCAAGCCTCTTAATGCGAATTCATTTCTGTACAAAAAACATCTGATGACATTTAATTTTCGAGAAAATCCACTCTGAAAAATTTAAAATAATTTCCATAAACATTTATTTTCTCAGTTATTTACAGCGCAATGTTTCATAGCCCTCGGTAAGCACCTGGACGCTCCAGTTGTCGGACTTGTAGCCTCCAAATTACACGATTGGTTATTCGACCCTTTTGCAAATCCCCTAAACCCGTCCTACATGCCGAGTCTCTTCTCCAGCTTCACTCAACGCATGACCTTCTGGGAGAGACTAACAAACACATTCATCATGAACGTGATCGGCCTTCAGATCAATTACTACTTGCGCGAGCAAGTTGAACATGTGGAGAAGTACTTCAACAGGAGAATCTCATCGCTCAATGCGCTCTATGATGATGTATCTCTGTTGCTCGTGAATGAGCACTTCAGTATTAACGAAATTAAACCCGCGACACCTGATGTCATCGATGTTGGTGGCCTCCATGTCCATGACAGTGATCAGCGTCTCACACCGGTGAGTGAGGCTTTGATTTATTAGTTTCATATTCGACGCGCAATAATTGATGACTGAATCTCATTAGTGTAATAAGATGAATGGTGATGATTTGCAGAAAATTAATGAGTGGTTTTTTCGTCGATCTGCGGGAGACTGAGGTATATCTAGAATTTGTTGTATCTCTCATGAATAAGATGATGATTTGGATATGAAAATGATGATGATGATCTTAAATTAATCAACGGATATGCTTGGTTGTGTCAAATTTAATAGGTGTGATAAGTCGTAAAGTGAGATCAAAAGCTAATAAATCCTATACGGATTTCTAATGCATTAATAAAAAAAAAAAAAAAAAAGTGAGATCAATGACAATAATGTGAATAAACATGAATGATTTTTGTGTGAATCTTTAGGAATTCAGGGGAGATTGAAAAATCTTTGTAATACTCTTATGAAGATGACGCTCTTGATGATGATGATGATCTTAAATTTCAGGAATTACAAAAATGGTTGGATGAAAGCAACAATGGTTGCGTATACTTCACCTTCGGTTCAATGATCAAGATTGAATCCCTCCCCTCGGAAAAATTGAAAATTCTATACGAGACATTCGAGAGGATAGCGCCGGTGCGGGTGCTCGTCAAAATCGCGGATGCCACGAATCTCCCCAAAGGTTTACCGAAGAACGTTATGACGTCGCCGTGGATGCCGCAAGTGGCCGTTCTGAGTACGTGAAACCTCACCTCATTTGAATAATAGGGAACTTGCATGAATTTAAAGAAATGCTTTGAAATCGCTAGTGGCGTCACAAGGGTGGTCGAACGCTGGACCAATCACAGAATGGCTCGAGTCAACCTAACCCAATCTTCACGTGCGCCTTATCCAATGGATGATGGCGCACTCCCCACTCTCCTCTCACTCGACCAACGGAGCGCTCCCCAAGAACTACTAATGCCACTTGTGATATCATCACCAAAATACAATTCAACCTATCATGAGTTATAGTATAATTCGTGATCGCAACATAGATGTGGGCGGCATCAAGCGATTTCTAAACTAACTACTCTTGAGGGCCAACCAATGAAATCACGGAGAACCCAGTGATCTCATTGACTGACGCCTATCATTGGTTCACTCCCAGTGATTTCATTGGTTGCCCCCCAAGAGGAGTTAGTTTAAAGCCCACTTGGTGGTTCTCACATCTACGTTGCGGTCGCGAATAGTCATTTTTAGAAAAAAATTGAAACGAAAATCCCCAGCATCGATTTTTTTGGCCTGCTGATTTGGCGCCGATCTGCTCATATATATGAGTAATTTTCAAGGAAACGGTCTTAAAATTTTTTTCACATCACTAGTGTATGAAATAAATTTTATTTAATAAATTAATAATTATCGAAACTCTCGCATGTGACTTGCTGTGGTCAGTTCCTCACTACTGAAATTACTTTTTCTATGTTTTAAATGAAGCTACTTTTTTAAAGTGAATAAAAAAAGTCATGTCAAGAAGAAGAAATCCAAATTTTCGAATTCTACCGTTTTCCAATAGCGTTACCCCCACCTTGCGCTGGATCGAACGGACGTCCAGCGGAGGGGATGGGCCTTTACGATCCGAGTCTATTCTTATATTTTTTGTTTTGTTATTTTCACAATTGAGCTCCATGCAAGTTCCCTATTCCATATGCCACGGTTTCATTAAAATAAAAATTAATCCTTTAGAACACAAAAATGTGCGAGCATTCATAACCCACGGAGGCCTGCTGGGAACTCAGGAAGCTCTGGCTCACAAAGTTCCGATGATTGGGATTCCCCTTTTTGGCGATCAGCATACCAACATAAATAGCTACGCAAATAGAAAAATCGCAATTGCACTGACTATTGAAACGCTCTCTGTGAAGTCCCTTACGGATGCAATTAATGCTGTTCTAAAGGATCCTATGTACAGGTAATAAAACGTCGTAATTACCATGTTTTCACGATGCAATTTCAAAGGGTGAATGTAAGAATACTGAAATGGGGAGAAAGTTTAGGCCATGATTTCTCAGCCAAAAGGGACTGGAAACGTCTGAAAGATGATTTAAAAAATTTGTTCATTCTATAGAAACTGGATGCTGCGAGCTGAGGGTGATCTGAAGAGGCTAAATAATTTTATTAACTGTTTAAAAATACGAGGTGGAGGTGTCGCCATCTTTAGAACCCTTGCGGCAGAGGGAGGGGGTATCCATGAAAGATGGCAGCGCCACAGCTGTCAACCTTCTCGTATTTTTAAACATTTTTCAAAACTATCTATCTTAGGAAATGAACCAATTTTTTTCCCCGCATTTCGGCAGTTTTTTCTTAATCCCGAGGCCTCTTAATTGATATGTTCGCAGCAAAAATATCGCTCACGTGTCCGAGCTCTTCTTGACCCGTCCAATGACTGCTCTCGACACAGCGGTCTACTGGGTTGAATACACAGCGAGACATGGAACAGTCTTAAAATCACCAGCAACTAAGCTATCATGGTGGCAATTCCACTTACTAGATGTCTATGGATTCATACTAACGTGTGTGCTAGTACTCCTGTACGTAATAAAAAAAGTGATCACAACTATCTGGAGGTGCTGCTGCAACAGAAATAATGCGAAAGCAATTTCTAAATCTAAGAAGAATAGATAAGGTTTTTCCATCAGTAAAATTTATAAATAGTTTGTCAAAAGATGCCTCATTTTTAATATTGAAATGTAAACCCTGTATTTTATACGTCAAAAAATACATTTCAATTTGAAAAAAAGATCGAGGAAGAAAATACACTTCGAGTATTGGCTTTTAATATTTTTATTCATAAAAAAATCAACTTGTGATTCCTTCCATCTCACTTCGACCAGTTTGACAAAACAAATTCCTATTCACTCCGTATATTTATTGCTTTGTTTCTATTTATCGGTGTAACTGAATTGAAGTAAATATCTATGTATTATTTAATTAATCGTGAATTCGTGGTTACAATTTTATTACATAAAATTTCAACTGATATTTCACAAACAGGTGGAGATACAATGAAACGGGAAAATTGCAGAGGAGAAAAATAATTAATTCATTTTTTTTTTATAATTTTTAGTATTTTTTTCACCACATTGATATCAAAAGTACTCTCGAGAGACATGTAGAGGATTAGGCCGTCACAATCACACGCTCAAGCACTCGTAATTCATCGAATTTCGAATTTTATGGGTTTTACCATTTGAATGTGCGATTTTTGGTTGAGGATGGCATGGAGATCTTGAGGAAATTTTCAAGATGTTTGAAAAAAAAGTTTTTCATCAATTTGAACAATTTTTAATGTTTAAACAACTGCCACGATCCATTTGTAAAACGGAAATGTTTTAAAAAAATAGTTTTTTTTTTCAAAATTAATTTTTTAGATTTTTTCAAGCAATTTAATTGACAAATTTTATCTTTCAAAATCTCCAAATCGATACTCGTGACATTCTCAATCAAATAATTTTTGTAATGTGATTTTCCGTGTTATTGGTCGTTAAAAGGGTTAACAATAGGAAGTTGAGTGAAATAAAAAAAGATTCTTTGGAGTTTATCTCGAGAACGGAGTGGGGTGGGAGGGAGTTGCGGGCGTTGGTGCTGAAAATTCCGGAGAAATCCCCTTTAAAACTTGAAACGAAAGGCCATTTTCCTCTTCTAGTCCTCAAGACCTCGAAGATCTTCCATTTTCACCTCTGATTTGATCGAGGACTAGCTGAACAAGATGGCCGTTCACATCGTACCCCAAAATGGCGACCTCCCGGGCCTTTCAAGATGGCGCCTGCATCATTCATGATTAACTTGTACTTTCTCAGGTAATTGCTTTATATTTTTCCGTAAAATTTGAATTTTCACACGGAAATTCTACGCATCTCCTTATTCCACTCAACGAAGGATGAAGAAATCGAAATTTCAAATGATAAATTATATTCGTCCTAGTGCACGTGCAACAAACAATATCACGATTTTTGTTCGTGATTTAAAAAAATTGTTAAATGATTCCGATGAAAGACAAAAGAATAACAAAAAACATGTAAACAATCGTTTTTTTTAATGAAAAAATGAATAAATCATGAGTTACAAAATTATGTCTACCATCTGAATATTCACAATTATTCAGATCCAATTTCACTATGTGAATCACACAGACTAAATGAAAAAATAGAGAAAGACATGAGTGATTATCTATAATACAGTATTAATACCATTCAACCATAAAAATTCATTCTCATCGATATTTAACACCATTACCCTCCTTCAATCTCTCACAATTATTATTATTATAATTATTTATTTTTTCATCAAATTTTATGTTTGAAATATCTCCCACTTTACATTTCTTAACCGCTAGATTGGGATTAAGTGAAATGAAGAGATCAATTTCTATTCGCATTCTTCATCACGTTCGGGGTATAAATATCACGGTCATATTGCGGGGAGGGAGATTGAGGAGAGGAAAATTCTGTTGAAGAAAAAAAATTGAGGTTTTGGTTTTTGATGAATATCTCGGAATCTATGGCAGACAGAAAAATTTTTCTAAGAGCCTTTTTTGTAGAAAACTTCAAGAGCTACAAGCAAAGTTATTACAAAATTTTTCGTATCTCAGTTGGATTCAGAGATATTTGGGAAAAACTAACTTTGGATACGAAAAAATTAGGTTATTTTACAAACCGATAAATCGTATCTTAAAATGGATTTTCAGGACTGGCTACATAAAATTTTGTACATCGCACGGATGAAAGAGTATTTTCTGACTCATGTGATTACGAACGTCGCCTCTGGCGAGACGACTTGAAATCTCATTCGTCTGAAAATACTTTATGCGCCTAGTGATATAATGTGCTCTTTTTTTCCTAAAAATTAATTCCATGTTAGTTTTTGCTCAATATCTCAAATTCGAAGGGAGATAGAGAAATTGTTGTGATGAACTTTTTTGTATAAAATTTAAATGCCTGAAAAAAATATAAATCTAATAAAAAATTTCAATAATTTTTTTTTCATGAAAAAAAAAAAACAGGGCAAAAGGGATTGGCCAGGTGTTCACCCCGAATCCTTGAAATATTCCCAACCAATAATTCTCATCCTATCACATTAAGCTACAGGGAATCATTCCCAAAAATTTAATCTTCCATCTCGTCATTTCAATTAATCACAGAAATCATTAAATGAATTCCTATAATATTTTATATAGGCTTTTCTCATAACACTAGTGTAGGCTACGCTGGGGCTACAATCTGGGCATTCTCAGGCTCAGTAAGTTTATCCCAATTTTCATCTCTAAAATCCTTCCAATTATATTTTCATCGTCTCCCTCATCTCGACATCTCCCATTACTTCATCTTTACTAATTAATTAGGAATTATCGGCAGTGAAATTCCAACGATAGAGGCGGCAGGCAGGCAGTCAGTCCAACAAAGTCTGTGGCACACCCCCGCTGCACTCACATTACATATTTCATCTCATCTTATTTCATTTCAACATTATTTTGCAGTTTGTTGTCGTGAGAAAATTCTCATAGGTTATCTCCACAACAATGACATCCACCTAGGGAATTTTCGTGCCTCTTTCAATCCAGGGGAAAGGGGAGTTGGCAAGGATAGAAAAAATTGAAGTGTCAATTTTTTTACCCTCCCATTTTTGGGAATTCCCTCTTTTCCGTTTGTTAAAAGAATTTTTTGGTTCCATTTTTGGGATTCCCCCAATTATTCATCGGCACGTGTTTCCCCTCGAAGAAAAAAAATCGCCATAATGGCACCACTGTAACCACAGTTGACCCCCAAAAATCCCCGACAACTCCATCTTCACAACAAATTTTCCCAGCAACTCGACAATCTCTCGCATTTCCAAAAATATCTCTCAATATACAAATACTTAATCATCTCTTTCCATCATAAAATCCTCTCTATATGGCTCCACAATAATCCACATCCTCCACAATAATCGACTTTCTTCACTTCTTCAATTCAAATATTTATTTTCATTTCGAAAATGTTTTTTTTCCGGTTGGGAAAAACATTCTTGCGGCGAGAAAGATTTTTCTCACTGTGAAAAAATATCCGGTCGATAAAACTGTTTTCTTTTCTTCTTCTCCAAAAAAAGCTTTTCCTTTTCGATCAAGAACATTTTTTTTGAGAATGAAAAAATCTTTGCTTTCATCTCGAAAAAAAATCCCTGACGTTTCGGTATTTTTTCATTTTTCCTTCAGTGAAATTGTCCGGAACAGAAAAACATTACTAAGATTATAAATCACAAATGAAATCACAGACTTTCGTTGGTGGTTTTTTTTTGTTTTTTTTTTTTAATGTTTTAGGGGTAATGATGCTTTGTCATTTTCCTTACTCATTAGTTTCCGTTTTAGTTAGAATGATTCGAGGGACTGAAACATGAGGACAACAATGTATGGATTGTTTTTATGTTTAGCGCTTTTAGCCTGTCTCTCTAAGAATTATTAATTATTCACGTAATCTGCCTGTTCCAAGGGCTCCAGTGAGGGACTTTATCTAGTCGTGATCCCCCACTTTTGCCCTGGCGACGGTGGTTCATTCCCATCCATTCTCCTTTATCATGTGGGCAAGTTCGATTATGAATTTGCCCTCCTTGTACTTCTGACTTGATTCGAACGCGTGCTCCTGGAAATGGGAATTCAATATTTTCTTATTCGATGAAATTCTCACACTTAATGAATTAACAGCGGTAATTAATGATTCAAAATTCTTCAAGATCCCTTGACCCTCAACTCCGTTTGACCCTTATGATCACTTTTTTTGTCAAAAAATGGCCGGAGCCATGTATTATGCTAGTCTCCCGCCATGCCGCCATGATTGAAAATGGTGATGGTACGATAATTATGGCGATGTTTACTGCGACGATTTTAGCGACATTATGTGCGATAGTTTGAGCAATGTTCATTACAACCATGAACCGATAATTTTATCAACATTAAGAGCGACATTAACTATCATATCGAATCCCATTGACAACTGCGTCATCGTTTCCAATTATGGCGGTAGTCAATCGCGATGTAATTGGCTGAAGCATTAAAAAATTCTAATGTTCACCATTTTAAAGTCTATTATCGGGATTTAGTCATTTTTGGACCGCTGAACTCCCGATTTTCTATTTTATATCTGCCTGAAAATTCGCTGCTCTCTTATTCAATGAAATTTTTACCTCTAATCAATTAATATCGATAATTAATGACTCAATACGTTTTTAAATACTATCATTTCGTGCAGTCCTCTTTCCCTCTTTTTCGAGCACAGCCCCGTGTGATAGAAACACTGGAATGAAAGGGTCTTGAAGGTCAAACGGGGAGACGAGTGGGGTAATTATAAGGGTCAAATCGCCAGAAGGATCGAAATGGACTGTGATCACTTCGCTCGGCCCTCACATTTGACCCCCAAGACCATTTGACCTTTACGATCACTTCGTTTGACCCTCACGATTGACCTTCCGTCAAAAGATGCCCAGGAGAGTTGACCCTCAACACTATAAAAAATAACTCACATATTTCCAGCCGAGTGTCGTTTTACAGCACTCGCAGTATATATCCGCGACAGCATGAAGACCTGTCAGCAGAACTCTTTCCTCAGCGGGTCCGCAGCCCACGTTAACTCTACAACAATTAATTCCCATTAATCACAGCAATCCCTGAATATTCATGACATGGCGTTACCACCATTGAATTCAAAAATAAACTTACACTGAATTAAATAGATAGGCACGACCCTGGCTGCCCTGGAAGGACTGCAAAAACATTATTATTAATCAAGCGTCCAAACTAATTGGACAAATAAATTGAGAACGGAACAAACCTTGGAGATGAGTTCGTCGTGATTAGCTAAGTGAGCACGGCAGTGTATGCACGAGTAAGTGCGATGGCAGGAGGGCAGATAAGCTTGAAAAGTTTTGACCATCTTTGCGTCAATCTGACTGTTATTATCTTCTCGGGCCCCTCAATGTATTATCTTCCTTCAAGGAACGAAAAAAAGAAATGAATTTCCATTTTTCACCCAGATTTTTCATTTTTTGCCTACATTTTTCAATGCAAAATAGTATATTTCATCACTTGTGCGTAAAGTGAAATTTTACGCACGGGCTGCGTGCGCAAAATCCCACTTGCCACACATTGTGATGAAAAATCGGTCTCGACACGTGTGGGAAGTGTTCTTTGACTGTTGGGAGACTAGCATTCACCTTCCCCGGGTCAAAAAACGCTTTTGTGTTACTCGTGCGTAAAAACCACTTTTTCAGACGCACGTGTAACACATCCTATTTGTCGTGATACCTGCCGAGTTCATTGTTCGGAAGGATAGTGGGAATAACATTATTGTTTTTGTGCACGAGTGCGTAAAACAGACGCTTTACGGACACTAAACCGTTTCGAAAAGTGCACTTTTTCAGGTAGGTATCACAAAAAATGAACTATCAAAAACATGTGGGCTCTATTCCTCTTTTATTCAAAAGAATAATTTTTTTTCCTGAACGAAAAATCAACTGTAACTGGGTTTTCTTACAGTTAATTTTCCGCCGTTTTAGAACTAATTACTGAGATCTCTATTACTAATGACAGAAGGAAATTTGGGCATTATGTACCTTCTCTCGATCAAATAACCGATCATCGAAGAAAAACAATGGATTGTTATGGTTTTTTTAATCCGTTCGCGGGGTGTTGGTGCAGTAGTGGCCCCGTTCACCGCCGCCTCGTACTCCGATCAGCTGTTAAGCTGGTTCAGACAGCGCCGGTTCGGGGACACCTAATGTAAAAGTGACATATTATTTTTTTTTCTTCAGTTGAATGAACAATGTCTTCCAATTCTTCAGGAAATCCATTCTCCTTTTTCGTAAATGGGGGGGAAATGGGGCAAAACTAGTAAAAAAGTGAGGAAAGGTCAAATGAGAGAAACAAATGAAAGGTTAAATGGGTCAGCTTTCGAGGGTTTGACCCTCTTAACCCGTACGCCTAAACGTGACCCCTGGTGACCCTCAAGACTGTTTAATCCTTGAACGGAAAAAACAAAAGAAGGGTCAAACGCCCGTAAGGGTCGACTCTTTTAACCCTCTTTACCCTTCCGTTTGCCCTTTCCCAATCTTAAGCCCTATTTTGCCCCTATTATGACTACATAAAGACACTTCTTCCTCAAACGCTTCAAGTTTCCCATGCTTTCCAATTACTTCTTCGTAATTATTCAACGCTTCTCCATAAAACGAAAATATTTTCTCACGGAATTTCTACTGATCTCCTTATTTATTCATCGGGAAGTTGACTTTCTGATCCATATTTATGCATCAACGGCAATATTTGTATAATACAGCTGGCTTAATAGCGCCCTGTCTGACTTACGAGCCGTCAACCACGAACGTCTAAATTATTTATGATTTTTCAATCATCTTCTTCTATTTTTAGTTGCAAAACATGAAACCTACGAAAATAAACAAAAACAATCAATTTTCCAATTTGAAACTCGTAAAACCGATTGCATCGAAAAATAAATCCAACTGATAATGTAATTTCCGTTAACTTATCACCCAATAGTCGCATCTCAAAGCAAAATAAAATCTACGAGCCAAAAAAAAATTAAAATTAAATGGAGGGGACAATGACTCTTCCAGAGGAGTAACAGACCAAGAGAACTCGGAATTTATGCTAATAATGTTTAATTTCAGCCTCAAAACGAATGAGTCATGGCGTTCAATTACACGCGAGGTGGATTCGGTTAATGACAGCGTCCGAATAGTGCGTTGAAGACAGAAAAGAGTAGAAAAAAACAATGGGACAGGGATTATTGCATGATGGAATGCATAAAAATGACCAAAAATAAAAATAAAAATAATGATTGATCACTTTCTCAGAAGAATGAAGAGAGGTTTCTGGGGAGGACTTCAGAAACGACTTTTGCGGGGCTAGAGGTCACGAGGGTCAAAATTTGTGGACACAAAATCTCCTATTTGACATGATTAGAAAATTCCTTTGTTCGCTTGTTTGATTTTACGAAGAGAGCAACAAGAAGAGAATGACATTTCTGATCTCAAGGGTCGAACATAAGGGAGAAAAAGCCTCTTGTTGACTTATTTGATGTCACAAGATCGGTAACAAAGAAGACATGACTTTGTGACCCCGAGGGTCACACAACGAATCGTTGACAAGGACTTGTAAAAAAGGCATTCAGAATTCCAGTGTTATCAATTTTTTATTCATCCTCATCCTCAAAATCAGATTTAAAAAATCATGAAAATTTATTTACATTTCCGTTTCAATCATGTCATGTGGGTCGTTGCAATCTAGAGTAGGTCTAGATTACCCCACAAAACGACAAGAAAGGAAACAGAAACACCACCAATTGGCTTCAATAGAACTATTCTAAACTGACGAGTACCCCAGTTTCACTTTGAAAAATCCTACCAACAACTGACGATGGTAGTGGCGAAAAAACAAAATGTAATGTAATATGTTAAACCGATAATTCTCATGCAGGAGGTTAATCACCGAATATTGTTAAAACAAACGGCAGTGTAAATAATTCAAACTCAGAACTGAGCACTGAGCAAAAAAAACGCAAGTGAGGAAAGACGAAACGTTGGCATCGACAACAATTTATTATTTAATTATTCTCCGATGGTCACATTGAAATACTCAAGGGTCGGGAGACCTCACTTGAGCTGAGAAAAACCCAAAACCAAAAGAAAAAAATTCTCTATCGCCCTTAGTTTTGGAGATACGTAAAATGATTACATATTTGGAATCAGCGACATCGAAAACATAAATTTAAATAGTACAATCTACTGAAGATAATCGTTATTTCCACAAAAGAACGAGAAATTTCAGGGTTTTGTCGAAAAACAGTAAAACGACTGGATCCATTTCGTCTAAAATTTGACACGTTCTAAGTTATATGAAGAGGCTTCGATCGCATCATTAGTTTTTGAGTAATTGTGAACGAAGGCATGTTTTCGAAAATAATCAAAAAACATTGTAGTCCTTGAAATGTACATGTAATCGTATTAATCTAGAATACGATTGATGTTCGGGGTGATTACAGTATCTTCCTCAAGTTGGAAAATAAAAAATTGAAATTCAGAATTTTGGGCTGATGCACTCGAGCGCTCGTCTCCCTCCGGCCCTCATCGCTGTCTCTGGGCAGCTGACACGGGACCCTATCAGCTGAGAGTGTATACAAATCCGGATCGGAGTGAGTGGAACAGAGCGCGAGGTAAATGGCAACAAAGGATGGAAAATAAAACATTGATTTTTTTCCCTCGAAAAATGCCCCAGGATCGAAACACATCCCCGTAAACAACTTTATTATCTCAATGAAAAAAAATACATGATTGAACAGATGAAATGAACAAATGTCTACAGCACTTGGATACAATAAAGAGACAAAGAAATGTGCTATTGCGTAGTTGAAATGACCCAACATCGAAGGCTCGCGGGTTAAAACCGATAAATCCCGTCGTTGGACGCTGGAAAAAATGGCTGAAATAAAAATAATGAAAAAATTTGTCAATTCCTCAGGGGTCACCTTTCTTCCCCGCCGAACCCTGCGAGCGCTAAAAAAAATGAAACGTGAGAAAAAAAACAGAGGACGATCGAGCATGCGACTGGGCAACCGAGGAATCTCACCTCCAAACAAAGGAAAATCCATGGCTCGCGAAAATTATGATTAATAATAATCCTAGTTTTTTACCTCCATATGCATCCGTGAGGCGACAGCCAACAGGCACAACCGCGAATCCGCGTTCCCTTCACTGTTTTCGGTTTTAAGAACTTGAAAAAAAAAACAGTTTGACGAACAATCAAGTAAACACCAAGCACTTCAGACAATTTTTTTCACTCGTGTTTTACACGAATAATTGTCTCTGCGTTCTTTCATAACTGTCTTCAAAGCGTTCGCAACACCTCGATATTTTCGAAAAAAAAAATTCAAATCCTGGCGATATCTTCGCAATTTGTTTGGGGGAAAAAATTCGTTTTCTTCTCTTTATCCCTCGGATATCTGAACGTACCGAGTCGTGTGTCGACACTGAAAGTGGGGGGTCACGACAGAGATATTCAACTGTTCGCCGTTGGATACCGTTTTTACTCGTTTTACGTCCTTTTTCAATTTAACAACACGTTTTGTACCTGTCTTACTTGCACTCAGTGCGACTGGGTATGCCGATGTTCGATTTATTTTAAGTTTTCTAGCATTGGCACTAGGGAGGGGAGGGGAGGCTAGGGCGCAGGCGTGTGGTGGGTTTTACGGAGGCTCCGGACATCGCCACTAGGGGGATCAGCCCCCCTCCCGTCTCTAGACCCGCCAACAGCTGCCGTGACGCTGTTTTTTTTTATTGGCTGGATTTTTTTTTAATGGTGGGGAACAAAGAAATTTCATTTGTTTTTTTTCGATCTGCGGGAGGGGG